GGTGCCGGAGGCCGCTCTGGGCTCCTCTGGGCATCCCCCCCGGGGCCCGTTTTGTGAGGATGTCTCAGGCGAGGGCGCCGGTTTGGGATTCGTCACCGGATCCAGCGGATCCAGCGGATCCAGCGGATCCGTCCGTCCGGAAACGGTGCCGGAGGCCGCTCTGGGCTCCTCTGGGCATCCCCCCCGGGGCCCGTTTTGTGAGGATGTCTCAGGCGAGGGCGCCGGTTTGGGATTCGTCACCGGATCCAGCGGATCCAGCGGATCCAGCGGATCCGTCCGGAAACGGTGCCGGAGGCCGCTCTGGGCTCCTCTGGGCATCCCCCCCGGGGCCCGTTTTGTGAGGATGTCTCAGGCGAGGGCGCCGGTTTGGGATTCGTCACCGGATCCAGCGGATCCAGCGGATCCGTCCGGAAACGGTGCCGGAGGCCGCTCTGGGCTCCTCTGGGCATCCCCCCCGGGGCCCGTTTTGTGAGGATGTCTCAGGCGAGGGCGCCGGTTTGGGATTCGTCACCGGATCCAGCGGATCCAGCGGATCCAACGGATCCGTCCGGAAACGGTGCCGGAGGCCGCTCTGGGCTCGTGCTCTTCGCGCCGGGGGTGAGGATGACGTGAGTTCCACAGAAACTCCCTCAAACCAGATACCATCCACAATGGATTCGGAAGTCCTCACTCCCGCAGCTTCTCTCTCTCTCTCTCTCTCTCTCTCTCTCTCCTCGTCTCTCACCCTCTCTCTCTCTCTCTCTCCTGCGTGTCACTCGTGTCGGACGCGGCCTATGCAGGCTCATTGGAAGTCCAGCTCAACCAACTAAAAAACAGCTGAATTTGTTTTGGGGGGCTTCCCCAACGCGTACCCGGCTCAACCAATACGCAAGGCCACCTCCAAGGCCGCGAGCGGCTGCCAAACCCGGCTAGGCCACAGTCCAGATCTGCATGATCCTGCAGGATCTGGCTCTGACTGAGCCTCGTCTGCGCTGAACCACGTTACCTGCCAGCTGATTGCGGCACGAGACTCGCAAGCTACTGCCCAAGCGAGTTGCTGCCAGGCGTGCCAGCCGTGGGCCTCGGGGTTGGCCGAATGGGCTCCCGAACAATGTGTCGGAAGCGATTGTGCACAGTCTTGGTCGCCCAGGAGGAAAGGAAATGCAGCGGGAGGCAAACAAAAGAAAGCTTTAGCAGGGACCCACCGTCCCGGCATTCCTTTGGGCATACCACGACGTAATCTCAGAAACCGGCACGGCTCGAATCGCAACAAAAACATGCTCTGAGAACAGAGACCTGGCGTGCTAAAAAATCAAACATATTCAAAAAATGCTCCAAAATGGTCAACAAAATATTCAAAAAATAGTCCCCAGACTATTGCTGACTATTTTTGAATATTCCCCCTGTAGAGGGACGGGCCAGACTTCACACAAGAGCCACAAACCGACTCGGGCGTCTCGGTGCACGGGGCACCGAACATGAGGAAAGGCCCACCCTGGAGGAGAAGGACTATGAGGAGGAGGAGGAGGAGGAGGAGGAGGAGGAGGAGGAGGAGGAGGAGCAGGAGGAGCAGGAGGAGGGAGGAGGGAGGAGGGAGGAGACCCTGCAAGATCGGTGAACGGCACATCTTGGAGCGGTGCCGCAGCCTCCCCTGAGCACGGGACCCCCCGGAGCCGCTGCCAAACTGGCTGGGTCTGCACTCTCGGGCCTTGCAGCGCTCCGGGTGCGTTCCGGGAGCGGCGGGAGGAAAGAAGGGGACGAGGGCGCCGTCGGGGAGGTTAAGCCAAAGCCAGGACGAGGCTAGCATCGGGTGAGGAGAAGCTGAGAATCTCTGAGATCCGGCGGCTCAGGAACGGACTTATCCTCGTCCCAGCCCAGGAACGAAGGGAAGAGGGTGCCGTCGGGGAGGTTAAGCCGAAAGCCAGGACGAGAATAACATCGGGCGAGAATCAATCGAGAATCTCTGAGATCTGGCGGCTCTGAAGGGTGTCTCGGGCGAGACAGCCTTTGCAGAGCGTTCCGGAACGCTCGGAGAGCGTTCTGGAACGCTCTGGAAGGGATATGCCCTCGTCCCAGCCCAGGAGAGAAGGGGACGGGGCGCCGTCGGGAAGGTGGAGGGCGAATAGTGGATAGTGAGGACGAGGAGGACGGTCATGGCGGCTGTCGCCTGCTTTTCAGCGAAGGAGCGGCGGCATTACCGACCACGCGTGCTTGTCGCTGTGGCTGTGCAGGATCGCCGTTCACGGGCGCCTCCTCTGCCAACGTCGACTAAGAGCCCGGCTGTACAAATAGTCCAGTATCAGAAACCGCGCTCTACGAGTAAGTTCATGGAGTAATGGTTTTTTGGCAGGGCTAAGCACCCCTGAGCCAGAAAACATTAAGCGTCAAAGGTGGTGCTCTCTGTGTATGCAATCTAAGGCTGTATGGACCCAAATGACCTCTCTAGCACCACAAAAAACTGCGCCTGTTGTGAAGAAATTCGCAACCACGTCAACAACTGGTTGTTCCGTGACCACCCATCCTCCTCCTCATCCTCCAATACCCACCCTGGCGTGCTGGAAGTTCTTCCCTTGGCTTCCTGCACGATGTGTTCTCCAGCTTGCCCGGCGGAAAAAAACAGCTCTAGAATAAGCCTGTGTCCCGCCCGCAACCAGCAGAGACGCCAAAAATATCGAGGGCTGACAGGACCCTCTGCAGCAATGCAAACTTTGGTGGAAGCTGCTAGGGGCACTCCACGTGCGCACGGTGCCGCATTCCGACTGCACTCCCGTGGGGCAGCTAACCGACGTCCAACACACAAGCGAGTGTAGCCAGCAAGAGGGCACGTCGATTAGCGAAACCGACCAGGCCCGCACCAGCACACACTCGAATGCCGATGTCGAATGAATCCGTGCATATTTCCTGAACCGACTTATCCGGAAGGGGGGCTGTCTGTCAATGCCCGGTCTCACCACGTGCACTGAAGGAACTGACTTGAGTGCATGTTGGACCCCTGGCACGGCGAGCTTTACTTTGGCATAACACAAACGCGCACCCTAGAACAGGTAACGAACTCAGCGCACGCGCTCTACTGCCATATGAAAGCGATGGTCATTGCTCAGGCTTGCGCATGCGTCGCAACAACATCCTGCCAACGATGACCACCCGCACATCTACTATATGTCCAACCGAGCTGTTCATGTTCTGGCTAGCAGATGGCTGCTGGAAAATGCAAAAAAACAGCCCATGCAGAATCACGGCGACCAGCACGAAATTGCAAACAGGGACGACGGCGTGGAAGACGGGGGAAGTGGACGAGGAAAACGACACGGACAACGACATCGCGAAGGCGCGGAACTCAGACTGACGTGGTATTTGTCACTACGACGGAGACTCCCAGAGCTCTTCTGATACCACCCACGGGCCCTGTTTTCATGATGGGTATAGCCTTGTTGATGGCCCCGGGCCCAGGCCCCGAAAACCGCACCGGAGGCCGACGTCGAGGAACGGCCACCCCTCGCACTCTTGTTCGCAACGCCTAGGGGCTGGGGATGGCGAGAGGGATGGCGAGAGGGACGGAGTCCCGTCGAAGTCCGTAGAAGGGACGCGCGGCGAGGGTGCCAGACCCTTGGAAGTCTCTTTTACCATTTCGAGTTCCTTAGACGTCAGCATTGGCTCAGTAGGCCGAAGAAGCAGTGATGCAAAGGCAGCCTTGATGAACCAGCGCATCCGTAGTATTGTGTTTTTGACTGTAGCAGGAGGAGCTGCGCCGAGACACAAGCCCACAACTTCCGGCGGACCCTCTAAACACCTGCTTAGCCTGGCCAGGCGGGGAACGCGTGGCGACTCAAAGGAAGGTCGCTTAGCCCTTCTGTGCGGGGGGGGAACCCGAAAGAAGGACGAGGGGGAGGGGGAGGAAGAAGAGAAAGAGGAGGAGGAGGAGGAGGAGGAGGACCAGGAAAAGGACAAGAAGGCGGAGTGCCGAGGCGTCTCTTGACTTCTGGGCATCTGGAAACCTCCAGATCTCCGGGGAACTCCTGGGACTCCTCCGGAAACGTCAAGGAGGGGGAGGTGTGGTGGGGATTCTTGGATTGCACATCTGATTCGCCTGGCGACGGTCAGAGAGAGGTGTGTGGGGGGGGGGGGGAGGGAGGGGGCATGGAGGAAGAGCAGTGAACAAGCACCATCACGAGGGCCGGAGGGGAAGGGGAAACAGGAGGAGTGCCGGGGGCGGGGGGACAAGGCAGGGGACAAGATGGAGGAGGTGGCGTCAGGTCGGGCAGGTCCTCCTACAGGCGGATGCTGTGAGAAGCATGCAGAAGAATAATCAAGACAAATCTCAGACACAGCCCAAAAACAACCGAAACGTCCTCCCCCGACTGAGTTTTGACCACTCTTGGACACTCCGCCTGTAGAGGCACACGCCCGCCTTGAAGGTCAGGTAGGGCGTGGGGGAGCCCGACGCCCGAGCGGCCGCGCGGGGGGCCGAGCCGCGCCCCGCCGAAGTCCGCAGAGGCCCGCCCTCCATCGAGTCGACAAAACTCCCCTCCTCCTCCTCCTCCTCCTCCTCCTCCTCCTCCTCCTCCTCCTCCTCCTCCTCCTCCGCCCTCCTCCTCCTTCTCCTCCTCCTCCTCCTCCTCCCCCGCTCGGATGGGTGCAGTGCCAGATCGGACGGGACCGGAAACGCGCGCATCGGACCAGGCCAGAATCTGGGGAAACCCAAAAAAGTATCAGGTCGGGCATGTCCCCCACTACAGGGGGATCTTGAGCGAGGAAAAAAACATCTCAACACAACTATTCCAAAAATGCTCAAAAATAATCAGAAAATCGTCGCCAAACTATGTTTTACTATTTTTGAATTTTCTACCTGTAGAAGGACAAGCCCGACTTAACACAAAGTACCGATACCGCAACTCCCTGGACCTCTCCTGAGGCGAATCCAGCGTGGCGACGAGGGCCTCCCAACTTCACGACCCAAAGAAGAAAACGAGGGAAGCGTAGCGGCATACAACGGGAGAGGTAGCGGCATCGGTACCTCTCACCCACTGAAAGTCGGAGTCGGAGCGTAGACAGCTCGACGCGACCTCCGCGCCGAGCTGCAGCCACCCCGCGCGCAGGCCGCGCGCGAAAGAGAGGCCCCCGGCGCGCACCGCGGGCGGGCAGCGCCGCCGCAGCCGAGGGGGGCTGCCTCCGATGGGGGCGTCGAAGGCGGCCGAGATGCCGGCCGCGCCCCCGAGGATGAAGCCCATGCGCTTGGCCTGCGCAAACCTCTCCTCGTCCGCGGGCGAAGGGCGGCCCCAAAAGGCTCCGTCCTGGGCCTCATCGGGGCGCGTGGCGGGGCCGCGGCGCCACCGCTGGCACGGCGGGAGAGAGGCCCCGAGAACGGGACGCCCAAGGACACACTGGAACCTCAGTGGGCCCTGGAAACGACAGGGCCGTTTTTTTACCGTTTCCGTTTTGCCGTTTTTTTTGCAGGTTCCGACGCCGTTTTTGTTACCGGTTCCGTCGCCGTTGTTTGACCGGCTCCGGCTCCGGTTCCAATCCTGGAGCCGTTTTTGTTGCCGTTACGTTTCTGGTCGCCGTTTTTTAGCTTTTTCCATTTTCAAAGGACATTTTCCTGGAAACGGTGAAAAAACGGCCCTGCCGTTCCCGGGGCCCACAAAGACTGGAACCATCTGCCCTCGCTGGAAACGTGCGTCCGGCCCGAACATGTAGCACACCCATCTTCGCTAGCGCATCGTGCCCCGAGCGGCGTGGCCAGAGAGCGCCCGCCACGACACACGTCCTACAAGATTTCTCGGTGCGCGCGTCGCCCCTGGGGGGCGACACACACATAGTAGTAGTATGTTTGGGTGGCGCCGAGAGGAGGAGCTTCGAGGCTCGAAGCTTTCGGACGCCTTCGTCGGTCCTCGGCGGTTTCAAAGCCTCGGAGTGCTTTCCAGCAGCTGCGGCTCGTAGAGGGCGCCCCAAGGTGCCCGGATCGTCCCGAACGGCCGCCGGATGCCCGAGCTATGCCCCGAAGACCGGATCTCCGACGATCTGATTTTTCACCGGGCGTTTGTTTCTCGATTTGGGCCTCTTGGGGCCCGCAAACGGGCCCTCGAGCAATCAAAACGTGGTCTAGGGCGAAGAGCTGGCCACGGGGGGGGTCGGGACCTCTGGGGGGCCGCACACTGAACAAGCAAAATATATCGGATGTCTGCGGGGGGGACGCCACCCCTCCTCCTCCTTCTCCTCCTCCTCTTACTCCTCCTCCGCCTCCTCCTCCTCCTTCCCCTCCTCCTCTTCCTCCTCCTCCCGATCCACCAGCCATCACCGCCCGCCCGCCGACCTCGTCCTCCCTCTCCTCCCCGCTGGCCTCGTCCTCCTGATCCACCAGTCATCACCGCAGGCGCCCCCCCTTCGATAGGGAGGGGAGGCCCCCAGAGGCCTCATGGCTCCCGAGGTTGCTCCAGAGCTCGGGCGGAGCGGTTGTTCCAATCCTGGCGTGCGTTGTATCTCCATCTTGGCCGCCAGGATAAGACGAAGCCAGGATGAGGTCAAACTCGGGTGAGGATAGATATGGAGAATCTCTGAGATCCGGCGGTTCTGGAGGATACCTCGGGCGCCGCGGCCTTCTCAGAGCGTCCCAGAACGCTCTGCGAGAATTCCGGAACGCTCTGGAACGGATTGTTCCTCTTCAAACCCGGTCCGACAGGGCCCGGTGTTGGGCTCCAGGGCCATAATAACCGCTGGTTTCGCCGACGGCTGGTTTCGCCCGGCTGGTTACGCCCGGCTGGTTTCGCCGCCTGGCGAAACAAGCTGCCGTCGGCGAAACCAGCGTCCGTCAGCGAAACCAGCTGCCGTCGGCGAAACCAGCTGCCGTCGGCGAAATTGCCCAATCCGACCCGCCCCGCCTGCTAGGGTCCGCCCGCCCAACCCGACCCGCCCGCTAGGGTTCGCACGTGTTCGGTCAAGCGTGCCCCACACAATAATGTCCCACCCGCCCGACACGATCCGTCCGCCAGGGTCCGCCCGCCCGACCCGACCCGACTATGTTAGGGTTCGCGCGTGTTCGGTCGAGCGTGCCCCACACTTTACTGTCCCGCCCGCCCGACCCGACCCGCCCGCACGGACCCGACCCAGCCAGCCCGCTAGGGTCCGCCCGCCCGACCCCACCCGCCCGTTAGGGTTCGCGCGTGTTCGGTCGAGCGTGCCCCACACTATAATGTCCCGCCCGCCCGACCCGACCCGCCCGCTCGGGTACGACGCCCGACGCCCGACGACGACGACGACGACGATGAAGACGACGACGACGACGAAGAAGACGACGACGACGACGACGACGACGACGACGACGACGACGACGACGACGACGACGACGACGATGGCGACGACGACGACGACGACAACGACGACGACGACGGCGGCGGCGGCGGCGGCGCCGACGCCGACGCCGACGGCGCCGACGGCGTCGGCAAACCCAGCGCCGGCGAAAACAGCAGCGGGGCAAAACCAGCGGGGCGAAACCAGCGGGGCGAAAGTAGCGCGGGCGAAACCAGCGCCGGCGAAACCAGCCTCGGCGAACCCAGCGGGGCGAAACCAGCGCCGGCGAAGCCAGCGCTGGCGAAACCAGCTCGTGCCAGGGCCATCAGGCGCAGATCTGGCACCCAACGAACTTCCCCCGGGGATCTTTCACCCAATGAACTTCACCAGGGAGCCTCGGAGCTACAACGACACGTCGTCGGATGGCTGTGCCCCTGGATCTGGCAAAGGCGACTGCGGGAGAAAGACGCCGTCGGAGTGTGATCAGCGGGGGGCCTCCGACAGTTGGCAGATACCCTGGGTATGCCTGGCGCCGCGGCCAGGGCCGAAGCCGCCCCGCACCCCGGCAACGCTCTGAGGCTGTCCAGGACGCCTCCACCAGAGGTCTCCGATCAAGCACACCCAAACGGGGGTCCAGCTGAAAAGGGGTGGTGCAATAGATTTGGGGCAAATGTATTGCAAAGGTATTGCGCCGGAGAATTGTTTTGCATTGTATTGTAAGTAATGTATTGCACGCGAAGATCCAGCAATACATTTGCGCCCCGGAATGTATTGCACGCCCCAAATGTATTGCAACCCCACAAACCTATTGCACCAAATCTATTGCACCAACCCCTTGTCGCTGGACCCCCTTTAGGGTCAACCCAATCCTACATAGGGTCAGCGTAGATGAGGCTGGAGGATCGCGCCGCATCGCCGATGCATCATCGATGCATCGGCGCCAGCGGCGTGGAGAAAATCGGGCTCCACGTTGAGCCGCATCGCCGATGCATCGGCGATGCGGTGCTATCCTCCGACCCCATCTGCTCGGACCCCATCTAGGATTAGGTCGGGCCTCTCCCCATGCAGGCGGGATTTTGAGCGAAAAATCGGAAATACTCAGAACATAATCCAAAAGTGCTCAAAAATGGTAAAAACAAAAAATCGTCCTCGCATTATTGTTTGACTATTTCTGAAGATCCCTCCTCTCGGGGGACAGGCCCGACTGTAGTCCAGGAGGCCTGGATCCCTGGAGCAAGGCTCCTTGGATCCTGGGCCTGCCTGCCCCCCCCCCTCGCCCCCGCGTCAGCGGCGGCAGGCCGAGGTCGGGCATGGCCTCCTACAGGCGGACGTTGGAAGAGCCGCGAAAAGCAATACTCCAAAATGTTCAGAAGCAGCTCGCATTCGACTGCTCCAGAGCATCTCGCGACTACGTTCGGCTGGTTTCAAACTGTTCGACTGCTCTCCAACATCCAGTCACATCAAACGAGTTGGGGACAAACTCAAAGTCGTCCCCAGGCTATTGTTCGATGGTTCTCAAAAATATTCCTCCTGTGGAGGGACATGCCCGACTTCGGGGATCTTCTGACCCGGGCCAATCCAGACCCAGGTCCGCCAGGCCTTGCCAAATCCTGCAAGATCCTGCAAGATCCTGCACCCAACCCCGGGTCAACGCGAAGGATCCTGCAAGATCCTGCAGGATCCTGCACCCAAAGCTGGGTCAATGAGACCCTGGCCCTGCAGGATCCTGCAAGATCGGGCGCCCTGGCGGACCCCCGTTTGCACGGACCCCCGTCTCGCTGGCCATCGCTCGGGCGTCCATTCCCTGTGCCTTTTGTCGGCTTCGTGCGTGGCTTTTTCGCCAAATGATCAAGGATGCCCCTCGATGGTCCTCGCCGAACGAGACATGCACACGTCCGAGCGATGCCAAGCCCAAGGCTCCCGACGACGGAGCGGTGAGCCGGGCCCGGCGGCCCAGCACTGCTGCAAACCGCTCCGCTCGCCGGGCGCGGCGGCCGCCCCTCCAGAAATTGCCCGCGCGGCGCTCGCGGTGGTGCACCCCCGTCGCTCTCGCGTCTGCCCCCTCTTCCTGTCCGTGCCTCTCTCCCTCTCTCTCTCTCTCTCTCTCTCTCTCTCTTGCTTCGTCCCGTCCTCTGTCTTTGTGCCTGGCTTCTCTCTCCCTCTTCTCTCTCTCTCTCTTTCGCCTCCCTCTGCCTTCGCTCCACTTGCGCTGTCTGCGCTGTGGCCCGACCATTTTTCCGCTCCACGACTTCTTAGACGGCGCGCAGCTGCCTGCGTCGCTCGCGATCAAGAAAAAGCGGTGACTCACCAAAAAAGGACCCATGACCCTCTTTTTGCTCACGCCTCACATCTGGTTGTCGCCCCCAGGAGCGGACTGGAATCGAGCGACAAGGTCGAGAGGCCCAAGAAGTGAGGCCGACTTTGAGGCAACCTGGCACCACTTGCGAGGCCATGGCAAAGAGGCTTCGTACTCGCTCGCTCGCTACCCAGACTGAGGGCGTTCCCACACCCTGCCCCTACTCCTCGTCAAAAGGGACCCCTGACCCATTGGGAAGGGACCTACAGCGGAGGCCAGTCCACAAGAGACCTTCCACGAGAAACCCAACCCTGAGACCCCAGGACGTCTATCGATCTTTGGTGTGGGAACGTCATGCTTCCTACCACGAAACCATCGAAACCCAAGAAACCCAGGGCACAGTGGAGGCAAGCAGGGTGTTTATTGACATGGACCTCAACTGTAAGTTAGGACGGCCAGAAACAGGAGGAAAAGGGGGTCGTTCTGCAGATGTGACGAACCAAACCGCCCAGAACTATCACCCCGAATGCATAAAGACGGGGACCTCGGTTAGGCCACGTCTTCACTGTGTCATTAGGGTTATGGGTTCTTTTGCTCTCGACTCTCGATGCCATGAGGCTCGAGCCGCACCGAGCTCTGGCGAACGCCCACCTGCTACCGAGACGGAGTCTCGGGGCATGTCCCAAAAGAACACGCCCGAAATTGATACGGAAAACATTGGCAAAATGCTCGGCAGCAGATGTGGTCCAACACAAACAGCGGCCACTGTGGGCTGGCCGACGTCTTGCCTCGTGTGGACATCGTTGGAGGGCGACGCCGACAACGAGGTCTGTTCAGAACAGACAGGAACTGCTGTCAGTCTCTATCAAAGTTGTCTCCGTACACGTCGGTCGGGAGAAGTGGGTAGAACCATGAAGCAGGAAGGCGTTGGAAGCAGATTGGGCTTCCGCCTGCCCCCTGAAGAGGAGGGAAGAGGGAAACCAGTCGATCCTTGAAGTAGCAAGGCGCCAAAAGTAGATTGGGATCTGGGAATCCAAAAATACATATTTCCAATGACCGGTGTGTACCATTCCAACATATGCGATCACGTGACTTTTTCAATACGGGGTCCCCAAAGGTCACGACCCTTTCCCCTGCGGGGCCGGCTTGTCGTCCCAAGTCATTCGTTGCCAGTCTCGGGGCCAGGCGAGAGCTCCCGGAACCTAAACACCGCCCAGCATGATGATAGTCCAGACGCGAGCATGTCCGGCTTCTGATCGTGCCGAAGAAGAGGGACTGGCTCGGGGTGGAGTCTCGGCCGGGAACCGACGATGCAACCCCAATGAGTCGAAGCAGGGCGGATACAACGGCAGCTCAAAATCGCCCCCCAGACTTGGATGAACTTTTGGAGGCAACTCGCGGGAGCCTCCCATTCAACCTTGTCGGCCCTTGCTCATCGACGCAAATCGACGCTAAATCGACGCAGATCGACGCAAAATCGACGTTAGCCGACGCTAAATGGGCGCTTTCTCATCGACTCCCAGACGCTAATCAACGCTATTCGACGCCAAACACGGAATTCAGAGGGTATACCAGGCTCCCGCGATTTGCTGCCGAAGTCGAGGTCCTGGTGCCATTCTCCTTGGATCTCCCAGAAGGTCAGGGCCGAAGGCCAGCTGCCGTTGTCTCAACTCGCCCGCCTCTGACCGACTGTGCCGGGACTGCGGCGCCCGCACTAAGCCCCACCCCCCTGACCAGAGTCCGCTCACGTCCGGCCCCTGGGCTGTCGCTGGAGACCCCTGTCTAGGAAGGCGGGCAGGAGTGAACGAGACGGCCGTCCTTCGGAGAGGTAGCGGGATCGCTGCCCCCTATCTTTCGAAACGCCCCCTCCCCCACCCGACCGGCAGCCCACCCAGACCCAGGAGGACACGGACTCGTTGAGCGGGGACCGACCGTCCTGGCATTCCTATAGAGCTACCACGACATGTTCCTATAACCCAAAAATATTCTTATAATAAAACCAATGTTCTCATAACATAAGCACGATGCGTGAAAACAAAACAGTCTCGGCCACAAATGTCCTAAGAACACTCCGTGCAGGCCACCAAAGGTTCTTAGAACATTCTTTGGTGGGCCTGTAGACGAGCCAGGCACTTCGTCACTATTTGAATGAAAGCACCCCCCACCAGTTCCGATCCTGCCGAGGAACGTCGACGCCCAAGGGTCTCGATCCCTTCCCCGGGACCAGCTTTTCATCCTGAACCGTTTTGTTGACGGTCCCGAGGCCCTGGAAGGACCCCCAGAAGGACCCCCAGAGGCCGAAAATAGCGAAAAATCCTCCCGTCGTGTTCTTTTTGTTCACAACGCGAGGGGGGTCTGGGACGGTTCCGATCCTGCCGAGGGAGGCAGACGCGCTCGGGCGGAACGCCTCGACCAGGGATCGACGGTGCACTCCCGATGGGGGTCCGCGGCGGGCGTCCGCGCGAGAGGCGGGCGCTCGCAGACCGCTCCTGGGCGAGGGGCGGCCTGCGCGCGAGCCCGCCACGCCGGGAGGGCGCGGGAGAGCCCAGAGCTGGGTCGGGCACGTCCTCCCACAGGCGGACCCTGGACGAAACATCGAGAGGAGTCAGACAGAATAGGAAGAATGGTCAACGTAAAGAAAACAACAACAAAAGGAACATCCCCAGACCATGTCGGTTGATTGTTTTTGGATATTCCTCCTCTACAGAGGGACATGCCCGACTTAAGCCCAGAGTCGAGGCTATGAGTCGGACCTCATGTTTCGCGCCGGACCGATCTGTGAGGGCCCTGGGGCCCGGAACTGGACGACAACGCGCGTTGCGGGAAAAAATTGAACGCCAGGATCTCAGGGCCAGTCCTCGCCTACCGCTTGGACGGCACCGAACTCTTCTCGGGCAAACCCGAGCGGTCGATAAGTCGGAACGGCGGTCGAAATCGATCAGATCGGCGGAAATCGGCAGCCAAACTGGGAGAGGTCTAATCGGCGGAACTCGGCGGGCCAGTACGGCCTCCATTGAGAAAACGAAGCCCAAATCGGGATCCTGAGCATCGTTTCACCGATCCCTCTCCCCCACGGGCGCGGCATGGGCGGCCCCACTGGCCGATTTACCCGCCCAAATCGGGATAGAGGCTGCTCCCGTTGGGTGGTGGGATGCTGGGGCTGAGACACCGTGGCCCGGTGGGCATAGGGGGTGAGTCAAACGATGCCGGAGGGCGGCGGCAGGCGGGCTCCACCCCCGCGTACGAGCGCGGCGCGCGCCGGCCAGCGCGATCGGCCTCGAGATCTGCGACGACCCTCCAATCCTGGCGCTGCAATTTGTTTCACGACGCGGGATCTTGCCTCGTTTCGGGCCCCTGGGCCCGCACAGATCGATCTGGCTCGAAAGATGGCGCAGGAAGCTGGAATATACGGTCGGGAACTTTTGCTTAGCGTATCGCGTCGGCGGCCCCCGGCGACACGCGATGCCTTGCGAGCGAATAGCGTTAGGCCAGGCCTGTCCTCCTACAGGCGGATTCTGGAAGAAATGGAAACATGAACATCAGTCAACAACAGTCAAAAGATCGTCCCCAGACTATGTCCTTCACTACTTGTCAGTACTCCTGCTGTAGAGGGAGGGACATGCCCGACTTACGGACAGCGTGTCGCTCAGCACCGCAGGGGCAGGAGGCTGGGGATGGGGCTCGGGACGTCGAAGCCTCGGAGCTTTGGACGTGCCTGGCGCGTCGCGCCGCGACGCGCCGACCACCCAAAGATCCCGACCGTAGGGGCCACCGGTGGAGTTTCGACGCCATATGCTTCAACTTACTTCGCAGCGTCGAATCTCAGGGGACCTGTTGCTTTCCGCCAGCGTCTCTTCGTCGGTTTGGGCCCCTGGGGCCTCTTACCGGGCCTCGGGTTAGGTCGGGCATGTCCTGCTACAGGCGGGCTGCAGAGGAAAAATGGAAAATAGTAGACAATTAATCAGCAATTGCAAAGCAAATTGTCAAAACGTCGTTCCCTGACTATAATTGAATCATGCCCGACTTAGCCTCGGGACCAAACATGGATGCGGGGCGAAAACTTGCTCCCGGGAAGGGGTCGGGAGCTATCTGGGGCCGCGCACTCCCAAAAAAACCATCCCCCAGGATGTCTGGGAGCCCAGCGAGGGGGGGCCGGGCCCGAGCTCCTCGTCCACTATGAGGGCGGGGGCCCGGTCGGCCGCGGACGCGTCCACCTCGATGCAGTGCCGCGCCCAGGGGAGCGCGAGGAAGTGGGTGATGCCATAGCCTATCGTGCCGCCTGGCCCATGCCCCGCCAAGCGTGCAGTGGCGGCACGCCGCTCCGCAGAGGGGGCGCGGCGCCTATACGCTTGGGTCGGGCATGTCCTCCTACACGCGGATTTGGGATGACAAATTTAAAAAAGAAGTCACGAAATACTCAAGGAGAATCAAAAGGAGTCGGAAACTCGTCTCCGGCCTATTGTTGTTCCTATATGTTTGAATGCTCCTCCTGTAGAGGGACACGCCCGCCCGAAGACTACGCGTTCGCGGCCCCCCCCGGGGCCGCCAGCAAGAGCTCTCCTGGCTGCAGGCCCACCGAGAAGGCAGCACGTCGAGGCTCGCAGTCCCGGAGAGCGCCCGTGCACGCAACTGCAGGTTCCAGAGGGCCCGCTCGGACTCGAGCATGGGGGTGGGGACCACACAGGGAGGGGCTCCCGCTCGAGACTTCCTCACTGCAGGGGCCCTGGGACACACAAATAAGCAGACACAATATTTTCTGGGTTTTTGAATTCCCCCCCCACACGTCCTATATGTTCTCATATTTTCCTGGGAGTGGACGATTAATTGTGTCTGTGTGTGTTTCCCCTCCTGACTCATGATTCACTCACAGGCGAGACTCCCGATCGAGAGGTCCTCATGATGACTGCGATGTGGCAGAAGGTCATATTCTTTCTTCCGCCAGGCCCAGATCAGATCACTGATGGCCGCTTCCTTTTCTTATTGGTGAGTTCTGCCACAGCCCGCACCGCCTCCTCTAAGGCGAGCGCCTCCGCTGTAAAGGCGAGCGCCTCCGCTGTAAAAGAAGAAACTGGATCGCTGATGAACATGCCAGCTATAATAAGCAGGCGAGTGCATTCCATCGGACCGCGGCGCGTCACAGCCTCCACGCACCAGGCGGCTGCCGAACACGACCCTGCTCGAGTGCCCCCCTCGCTGTGAATAAAAAGACTAGCTTGGTTCAGATGTTCAGATCCAGAAGCTCTGTCGGAAATACTTGATACCAAGGTATTATTGCGTCCATTGTTTGGTTGACCAAATAATCTGTTCTTCTACTCCAATCACGTCTGTGCCACAAGACCATGTCATCCGCATCTTGCGCCAGTCCCCATCCATACCCCGTGATGTTGAAGAAGCTCTGGGCAGCTCGAGCGAAGGCGGGTCCGAGGGAGGGCGCTGCCAGCGCTGCCGGGTCATGTCCTGCTCTGCTATAGCGACAAGATGGCCCCAACGCCCCAGCAGCCCCCGCGCCCGCGCCCGCGCCCGCGCCCGCGCCCGCGCCCGCGCCCGAGCCCGACCCCGCGCCCGCGCCCGAGCCCGCGCCCGCGCCCGCGCCCGAGCCCGAGCCCGAGCCCGAGCCCGAGCCCGAGATCGAGCCCGAGCCCGAGCCCGAGATCGAGCCCGACGTGGGCGCGTCCTCGGCCCCCTTGCCGAGCCCCCTGGGCCTCCACCCTCACTCCTGAGAAGCCCTCCCGGGCCCCCGGGCCCGTCGCCCTCCAATCTCCCCATGGCGTGGCGCGTGCCCCCCGGGGCCTCCCGCGTGTCCCCTGGGCTCCGGGAAGTGGTGGCGCGGGAACCTCTCGGGCCCAAGAGTGCGTGCAAGACTCATATCCATATCCAGTGCCTCTTGGACTTTTTCGGAAGCGGCGCCACAAGGCCGAGGCGCACTGGATATGGATAAATATCGAGCCTCTAGGGGGCAAATTTATCCATATCCAGTGCGCCTCGGGTTTCTTGGGAAGGGAGCCCGAAACTCCATACTGCAATGGATATGGACAGAGGTATTGCCCGCGAAGAGGGCCCCAGGACGGGCCCAGAGGTCCCCAAGAGGCCCCGAAGGCGGCCCAAGAGCGCTCCGAGTCGCCGAAAGGTCGGCCCAAGACGCCCAAGATGGCCTCGAGACGGCCCGAGAGGCCTCCAAGCCGCCCCAGGAGGCCTCCAAGAGGCCTCCCAAGAGGGCCCCCAGAGGCAACAATCATCGATTCTCCTGAAGTTTGTTTTCCGGTTTGGGCGTTTTCGCCCTATCGGCTTCCCGACCCTCCCAAACCAGGCGCCCCAAGAATCAAATCGATAAGCCGGATCGGCGATCGAAATGAATCGGATCGGCGGAAATCGGCAGCCGAGCCGGGAAAAGTAGAATCGGCAGAAATCGGCAGGCTAGTAGGCCTCCATTGAGGGATCGGAGCCCAAATCGTAAGCCGAAGTCGAATCGAATCGGAATCGGAAGCTATCGAAATGAATCGAATCGAATCGGATCAGAGGAATCGAAATGAGCCCTGCCAGACGGCCCCAAAGGCCCCCAAGACCGCCCCAAGACGGCCCAAGAGGGCCCAAGAACGGCCCATAGGGCGCCTAAGACGGCCCCAAGACGGCCCCAAAAGGAACCCCCAAAATGGAGCACGAACCGAACATCCAAGCCTTCCGCCCCAAGAGGCCCCCAGGAGCGCGCCCAGGCGGCCCCCAAGAGGACCCCAAGAGGCCCCCAAGAGGTTCCAAGAGGCCCCCGAGGCATCCAAAACTGCCTCCAAGAGGCCCCAGAGAGGCCTCCCACGAGATCCCAACGAACATCCGACAGGCTTCATACCCACATATATATATATATACACATAACCCAGGCGCGGTGGCGGGGGATGGGCCGAAGGCCAGTAGATAGCTCAAAAGAAGGGATGATATCTCATGGTGGGTTCCGACATACCTTCGAGAGGCCCCAAGACTACCACAAGACGGCTTCAAGTGCTCACGTTCTGGGTCATGGCCCTGTGCAGCACGCTCTGAGCCCTTCACGTCTGTTCTTCTGGACCAAGATCCCGCGTCCTGCCCCTTGGCCCCCGAAGAGAAACATTAGGAGGAAGGGGGGACAGGGGAGCAGGGAGGCAGAAGAGGGGCACTGCCTGCCCACATCGACAGGCACAGGCCAGGACTGATGGGTAACGCCGGCCAAACCGCAACCATGGCTCGCGAATGTGGACGACATGTTATGGCTTGAACGGTGGCACGCGGTGGATGGCAGAAGCGGCAGTGAGGGGAGCAACAGGAGAACGGAAAGATGATCAGACGGAGTTTGTATTCGGTCGTGGGCCGCCGTGTCGCCTGAGCCCCCAGCAAGAGCTGCAGCGGCAGACCGCGAGCACCGCGAGGGGAGCCAGGAGGGCCGAGTGAGAAGGAGACGGGAGGAGGAGGAGGAGGGAGGAAGAGCGATGCTGGCGGAGGAGGAGGACTAGGAGGAGGAGGACTAGAAGGGGGAGGAGGAGGAGGAGGAGGAGGAGGAGGAGGAGGAGGAGGAAGGAGGAAGAGCAGGAGGAGGAGGAGGAGGAGGAGAGGAGGAGCAGGAGGAGGAGGAGGAGGAGGAGGAGGAGGAGCAGGAGGAGCAGGAGGAGGAGGAGGAGGAGGAGGAGGAGGAGCAGGAGGAGCAGGAGGAGGAGAGATCGTCTGGAGGAGGGGGAGGGGAATGCGGGAAAGGGCGGCTCAGGCCTCCGACGGCGTGCCGCTCCGAAGGCGCGGCCCCGAGACGCCCCCCGCGACCCCCGCGCCGCCGCCGGGCGAGCGCTCCGCCCCGGATCCGGTGTTCTTCTATGCCCCCAGGGGTAAGTCGGGCCAGTCCCCCTACAGGGGGATTTTTCAAGGGGGCGTAAGACCCGGGTACAGGGGACTCGGAAATCCCCGACGAGGTCGTCAAAAAAACGACGAGGCCGAGCCTGCATTCTGACGAGGCCTCCCGCTGCAAACATCCCACGAAATTCCTCCTCGTCAAAGTCCGAGGCGCGGTCGTCCAAAAACGATGGCGAACCCGAGTCCTGGCAAACCCAGGTCTTACGCTCCCCCGAATTTTGGACGAAAGATAACACACACACACACATATATATATATATATATATATATATATATATATATATTCCAAAAATACTTTAAACATGCGACATGAAGTAAAAACATAGTCCCCAGGCCATGTCTTAGACTATGTTTGGGTATTCCCCCTGTAGAGGGGCAGGCCCGACTTGACCCCAGGGCCCGAAAGCGGGCCGCGGGGGCCCGAGTCAGAAAGAAGACGCTGGCTGAACAGCATCGTACCGCTAGGTCGGGCATGTCCTCCTACAGGCGGCTCCTGGAAGAACAATTGAAAAAGCAAAAACAAGAATACTCCCCGATAAGGTTTCTTGCATGTGTAGACATACAGATATCCTTTGAGAATAAGAACTCCCCGTGCGACTTGTGGACTCTCCTTGAGAACTTTCCTCTTGCACAAGGATGGGCCCGACGTCATCGTGCCGTCGGAGATCCCGGGAGGCAGGGCAGGGCCCGAGCCCGTCCCCGCCGATGGCGACCATGGGCCCCTCGCGGCCGATCGGGAAGCCGGCGGCCAGGGCCAGGACGATGCCCACAACCCGCACCATCAGGGCCCGCAACCTGCGTGCCCGGCGGCCGGGAGACTGCTCGTCGCCATCCTCCCCCAAAGCGCCTCCTCCCTCCCGCCTCCTCGTCCTCGTGTCCCCCCCGTGTCCCCCCCCCCCTCCTATGTGCCCTCCTCCTTATCACCCTCCTCCTCCTCCCTCCTCCTCTCCTCCTCCTCCCCCTGCTCCTCCTCCTCCTCCTGCTCCTCCTCCTCCTCCTCCTCCTCCTCCTCCTCCTCCTCCTCCTCCTCCTCCTAGTCCTCCTCCTCCTCCTCCTCCTCCTCCTCCTACCCTCGCTGCCTCCTACCCTCGCGTCCTCATCCCCCATCGCTTCCTGATGCCTCCCGCCCTCCCTCCCTCCCGTTTGCTACTCGTCCTCCTACCTCGCTTCCTGAGGCCGGAAAACCGCCGAGGATCGACGAACGCGTCAACGACGCAAGGGTGTCGGGAGAAGTGACGATAATATGCCTCCAATCCCCCCCCCTTGTCGCTGACCCTGCCGGAGACAAGACGAGAGGCCGCTCGGGCCACGCGGGGCCTGAAGATGCCGGCGATGCGGTTGCCGTTGAGGAAGCCCTTGCCCTCTGGCAGGCCTGGGGCTACCGCGCGCGCGGCGCTCTGGGTCAGGGGCAGCACGGCCGGCGAGCCCCCTCGTCGCCGCGGTCGCCGCGGCCGCCAACGCCGCCGCTGTCGTCCTCCTCCATTATCTTGTCTGCGCTCCTCCCCCCTCACTCCTCCTCCTCCTCATCATCACCCTCCTCCTCCGCCTCCTCCTCCGCCTCCTCCTCCTCCTCGTCCATCTCATCTCTCTCTCTCTCTCTCGCTCTTGTTTCTCTCCTCGCTCATCGTTCCTCCCCCTCCCCCTCTTCCTCCTCCTCCTCCTCCTCCTCCTCCTCCTCCTCCTCCTCGCCCCCGTCCTCGAACCTTCTCGTCCTCTCTCCTCGCCAGGCGTCTCATGACAGCGATAGGGCCCAGAGTGTGCGACAACGATAAAATAAGAGGCGAATTGAGAGCTGACTGGGGTCTGGAAGGCGCTGCGGCAGAAAGTGGAGGAGCAGCAGCAGGAGACTGAGAAGAGCTGGACGAGTGGAGGAGGCAGAGGCCGAGAAATGGCTGAGGGAGAGCCTGAAGCTGAAGAGGAGGAGGTTACGTAACGAGAATGCGATTTGGGAGAGGATCAGAGGGCCGTTGAGTAAAAGAAGCCCGAAGAGGGCGATTGTGGGTGCCGGTTGGAACTTGCTGGCGCGTCTCTATGGTCGCGCTGGCGCGCGCGAACGCTTACGCGCAGGTCGGCCAGCTGATTTGGCGCAACAGGCACGGGCGCGTTGATGCTTGTCAATGGGAACTCCCCAGCGCGTCTCAAAGCCAGCGCTGGGGCCCGTGCGCTTCAGCGCGGGCGCTTCAGTGCGGGTCGATGGCACGGGCGGGCGCGTTACCATGATGACGTCGACTAATGCGGCAAACATGATGAAAATAGCAATGGTGGTGGCGGCGTTGACGATGATGACTGTCAGGGCATTGACGGCACCGATGCTGGTGACACCGAAGTCCATAACATAATGTCGGTGATCACGGTGATTGTGCTGATGATGGCTGCAATGGCGGCAATTGGCGATGACGATAACGGCGGAAATGCGATTGCGCTGATGCGGGTGATGAGGAAGCGCGCGCGGGCAGAAATCCCATAAGTCAGACAAGCTTGTTTTGAAAAACATGCGAGTATCCGTATGTTGTTGAAGAGCACTACCTTGAAATGCTTCGAGCCAGCGTGGTATGAATTGATGCGGATTCGTGCGCGGGGGGGCATGCCTCGTTGGGGGGTCCTGGCGCGGGGTAGGTTTCTGTCGAAGTTTCGCGCGGTTTTGTGCCCGGTCGTCGTGGGCGCTTCGTGCGCGCACCCTGCGTTGTAAGGCCAAATATTTAAGCCTACAAATCGCACAGATTTTGTAAGGCAACCAAAAGCCCACAAAGAGCACAAACATGTCAAGGCCAAAAAAGGGGGAACAAAAAGCTTGCACCACGTAGATACTTTTTTTTTAAAGGAAGACTAGACTCTACCACCGCTCCCCGCATGAGACTGCAGCTTATACATGTGATCTTGCCTCGTCGTTCATGTCTCATATGAGCTAACCCCATCCTAGGAGGGCGGCATCGACTTCCCCCGTCATCCCTGTCAACCGAAACCATTCGCGTACACTCGCTTGGTTGAAAAAAAAGGTACTGTTTCAATAATCCTCTTCACAAGTATACCTCGAAGGCCACACGCGCGCGATCATACTTAACACCCTCGTATTGCAAGCATTTCAGCACTAAAGCGTCACAACCCATTTGCGTTTCATCAAATCTTGCCGATGCTCTGCCCGCGCGCGCTTGCTGAAGTCATGGGGGAACCATACGGTTTCAGCAATCTCGTCCACAACCAAGATTACCATCTCGCCACGCGGTTTATCTGCGTTGACCTAGCGACCACGACTGGGCGCCAGTCGGGAACAGCGCAAAACCTCGGCAGGTGGGCAGAGGGATGTCGTCACGTGATGCGAAGTCCCCCCCTCCCCACCGAATCCCCCTCATCTTCCCCCTCTTTATATTCTCCTCCTCCTCCTCCTCCTCCTCCTCCTCCTCCTCCTCCTCCTCCTACTCCTCCGATTCGCATCACGTGACAGATCCAAGTCGCCGAGCAAGCCCGCCCTGCCCAAGGGGCGCCCGCGACCCGATGCCAACTGGGCAGGCCTCGCCGAGCCCAGCCAGCGCAGGGGGCGCCCACGCGGCGCCCACGACAGGGCACCAACCGGGCACCAGGCGAGACTTCGGCAAGCACACCCCAGATTTCGTAACAAAAGGGAGGGGGTCCCAACCCTCCCAGACGAGAAGTTTTAGACCCCCCCCCCCCGTGGGAGAACCCTCCAAAACATCGTCCCCAGACCCCCCCCCAGGCCCTCCAAGATAGCCTGGAAGAGACCCCCCCCGAAATGAGACCCCCCTCCCTTTATTACGAAATCTGGAGCAACTAATTCTTTAGGCAACCGAAGTGAGAAACGCAAAGTGGAAGCATTGCTTGTAACATGAAGGTAACACAAAGCCTTTCGAAGTCTCGTGCACCCCTTCCCCTGCGCGCAGAGCGCGCCAGGAACGGAGCGCGCCAGGGGTGGGGCGGGAAGTGTCGCCTGGGCGTGTGCAGCGCCGATCCAAGAAATGGTCGCAGACCGCGTAAAGATTATGATTGTGCAGTTTTGGCTCCTCGAGCTGAGGGGATCAAATGCCTGACGACAATCACACACTGTAGCGCACGATTCAAACCAACACGCACGCACGCACGCACGCACGCACGCACGCACGCACGCACGCACGCACGCACGCACGCACGCACGCACACACACACACACACACACACACACACACACACACACACACACACACACACGCACAAATAGCCCCAGACAGAAAGGCAAGAGTGACCTGCAGTGCGGACGCGACCGCCAGAAACCCTCGTAAGAAACCCAGCCCTGAAGACCCGCGCGAGGGGTGCGACTGGGGGGGAGCCCAGGACACCCTGAACGCAGCAGCTTCTTCAACGGACGCGGGAAGTCACCGCGCAACGCGAGGAGCGAGGAAACCGAGGGCACCCTGATGACAAGCATCTAGCGTCTTGATGCGCGCCCCCACTGTATGGGGCGCGGCTTACCGATCGCTGCACGCCATGCGGCAGCAGCGGCTTGCGTGCTCGGGTCCGCCCCCCCCCCTCTCCGCCCCGCCCCCCCCGAAAGCCGCAGACAGCAGAGGTCACTCTGGCGAAGGGCCATCTCGGAGGAGGGCCAGTGAAGACAACGGCGGTTCTCCCGCTCCGCCGAAATCCACTTCAATGGAAAAAGAAAAAACGCTATAAACGTAACCTTTTGGCGTTCAGCGCGGATTTCTTGGATCTGCGCTGAGCCCCCCTCCCTGACGCGCGGAGCGCGCCAGGGGCGGCGCCGGACGCGCCGCCGGGGGGAGGCTCAGCGCGGATCCAAGAAATCCGCGCGGAGCGCCACAAGCTTTCTGTTTATGGAGTCTTGTCTTCTTCGAGACACTTCGGAGGTCCACTTCAAACCCGTCCCTGTGGAGTCCCGAAACGGTGTGGTGACAGACCGCGCGGTGACCTCAGAAACCCCAAGAGACCTCACCGCACGGTCCGTCACCGCACGGTCCTGGGACCCTGGAGGCCCCTGCCGCCCGAGCCGTCCTCGGAGAGGGGCCCGAGCCCCAAAACCGTGCGGCGGCCCCGAATCCCCACCCGCCTCCTTCTCCTCCTCCTCCTCCTCCTCCTCCTCCTCCTCCAGCTCCTCCTCCTCCTCCTCCTCCTCCTCCTCCTCCTCCTCCTCCTCCTCCTCCTCCTCCTCCTCGTGCTGGGCCCCCCGAGAGTCCCTGCAGCCCCTCCCGGGGTTCGCCCCGGCCCGCCCTCCGAGGCGGCGGGCCCCGGCCGCGGCGGCGAGGCGCCCCCCGACGGCCCAGGGCACGGGGCGGCGGAGGCCGCCACGGGGGAGGGGCCGCCGCCGCCGCCGCCCATCGGCGGGCCCAGCGCTGCCCTGAGCCCCAGACGCGCGACGTCGCCGGCGCGAGTGAAAGTAGGCGGGCGCGCTCCACTGCTCGCAGAGGCAACTATTCTCGCAAACGGGAGGGATCCCGCGCGGAGGATCTGCGAGGAGTTGCGTCGAAGTGGACATGTGCTTTTCGGACGGTTGCGAGCAGGCACTTTGCGAGTAGTAGAACGCGCTCGGTGAGAAAGGGGGGCGACACAGTCGACCCGCATCCTCAGGATGCGCGACAAGGATGCAAGGGCCGTGGAGGGCCAAGCTGGCGCTTGTCGAACGAGGTTGGCCAGCGAAGGTCGCTAAGGTTGGGCCGAAGGGGCAAGGATGCAAGGGTAGCCTCGGGAAGGTTGCTCATCCTTACTATGCGTGTTGTCTGGAATGGGGGGGGGGAAGAGAGGTGCCCTTTTCGGCCCCTGAAGCCCTCGTTCGGGGCACTCACGGGACCCTTTCAGAGGCCCCAGAAGGCCCCTTTTTCGGCAGCCCTCGCTGACCCCCCCCCACATGTATCGTCCCCCCGCATGTATCGCCCCTCATCACCGCCCACACGTCTTGACCTTTGCCTATGCAAGGCCCCCAGAAATTCCGACACTTCCCCCAGGGCAGGCTCTTCGTCCCGCCCCGCTGATCCTGGGGACACGAGAAAACACCGCTACTACTACTCCCCGGACCTCTCCCAGGGTGCGCACTGACCAGAACTTCGAGGCGAATCCAGCGTTGGCTACGAGGGCCTCCAAGGATGGCGACAAAGGGGAAAACGAGGCGATGGTAGCGGTATGGGTAATTACCTGTTCCTCCTCCGAGTTTCGCGGTCCCAGAGCAGGGCAAAGGCCCCCGGAGGCCGACCACGGTTAAGTCGAGCCTGTCCCTTTACAGGGGGGATCTTCCGAAATAGTCAAAAAATAACCGGGGACGATACGCTGACTAGTTTTGAACATTTTAGGGGGGTATTTGGGGTGAATTTTGAATTCGTCAACCAAAATCCTCCTGCAGGGGGACAGGCCCGACCTAAGACCACGGCCAGGAGCCCTCCGCCACGTCTCCTCTCACGAGGCAGAGGCACGCCTGGGCACACGCGAAGCCGAGCGGGCGTGCACGCCGCCCCCCCGCGCGCGGCCAGAGCCGGCGCAGATCGGCGACAGGAAGGCCACGAGGCAGGCGGAGGCGGCGGCGAAGGTGGCGCACATCGACACGTAGGCCAGGGCACCTCGCGTTCCCCGCTCGCGGCCACTGCGAGCAACGACGGGCGGCTGCGCTGCAACATGGTGCGTGTGTACGTGGGGCACGAGAGAGAGAGAGAGAGAAGGCGATGGAGAGAGAGAGAGAGAGAGACAGAGAGACACAGGAAAAAACGTGGCAACGCAACGTAAATGCCCCATAGCTGCTGCTAGTAGGTCTGAACACCCAAAAAAGAGACTCTCTCGCGCGATCGCGAACTTGGCATTCACACCCCTCCCCGTGACTGCCAAAGCCACGCATCGTCGGGGCAGGGCCAACAGCATCGAAAGCCGACACCACCACCAGCACGAGGCGCCAAGGGGGGGGGGAGAGCCCTCGGGGAGAGTCCCCGTGGTGGTGCGGGCCGCCCCGCTCTCCCGGGCGAACGGCATCGAAGGCCGACACCACCACTACCACGAGGCGCCCAAGGGGGGGGGGGGGGGGGCAGCCCTCGTGGTGGTGCGGGCCACTCCTCCCCCTGAGATCCCGGCGCTGCATCTTCTTCACACCAGGCGTGGTTGCCGCCTGGGCCCGGGACGGCCCAGAGCAGTCCCAAAACAGAGTCGGCTCGGCAACACGCGGCAGAGAGACGGGCTCCAGGGCTCCGACCGTGGTCCTTCGCGGTGCTGCCAGGGGCGATGTGGTCCCCCCTCGCGCTCGAGGCGCCCCCCCTGCCCCCAGCTCGAGGGAGGCGTCGAGGACAAACCCTCGCTTTCAGTCGGGCGTGTCCCCCATACAGGGTGATTTTCGACGAAACATAAAAAATAATATACCCCAAAATGGCCCAAAAATCAGCAACAAATAGTACACATACAATTTTAAAATCGGAATATTCCAACATGGCCCAAAAATCTTCAAAAAATTACGCCTACTACTTTATTACCTATGTTTGAACATACTCCTCCTGTAGAGGGACGGGCCCGACTTGCCCCTCGCGGGAGGTGGCCCCTCCGGCGGTGGTGGCGCCGACCCTCTGTCCTCCGAGGGGGCACGGCGCGGGCAGCTCAAGGAACCGCGGGGACCCCGCGTCGGGGCCGGCGGGAGACGAGGGGAGACGGAGGAGGCAGGACGGAAGAGGAGGGAGGGAATGAGGAGGGACGAGGAGGGAGGGAATGATGAGGAGGGACGAGGAGGGCGTCGGGAGGCGGGGAGGACAGAGGACCGGAGCCGGGGGGGCTGGAGAAGTGCCCTCATCGCCATGACAGCTCTCATACTGGAGGGTGAAGGGTTCCAACTCGGCGGCCAGCCCCAGCGATGGAGCAGACGCACTGAAACCCTAAAGAAGGCCAGCCCGTCCGAAGACAGAGATGCAACGACTCCTCCTCCTCCTCCTCCTCCTCCTCCTCCTCCTCCTCCTCCTCCTCCTCCTCCTCCTCTTTCTCCTCCTGCTCCTGGGCCTCACCGCCACCACCACCACCACCACCACCACCACCACCACCACCACATCATCATCATCATCATCATCATCATCATCATCATCATCATCATCATCATCATCGTCGTCGTCATCATCATCATCATCATCAGCAGCAGCAGCAGCAACAGCAGCATCATCATCATCATCAGCATCATCATCAGCATCATCATCATCATCACCACCACCATCATCATCATCAGCAGCAGCATCATCAGCATCATCATCATGATCAAAATCATCATCACCATCATCATCATAATCTTCATCATCATCATCAGCATTACAATCAGTGTCATCATCATCATCATCAGCATCATCATCGTCATCATTAGCAGCATCACCATCACCATCATCATCATCAGCAACAGCAGCATCATGATAATAAGCAACGGAAGCATCATCATAACCGCTATCATCATCATAGTCATCATCAGCATCATCAGCATCATCCTCCCCATGATGGACGCTATCACCATCATCAACATCATCATCGTCGTCATCATCATCCTCATCATCACCACCACCATAGTCAGCATCATCATCATCATCATCATCATCATCAACAGCATCATCTTCATCATCATCATCACCGTCATCGTCATCACAATCACCATCATCATCACCATCGTCAACAGTAGCATCATCATGTTCGTCCTCATCCTCATCCTCATCATCATTAGCATCAACATCGTCATCGACATCATCATCATCATCATCAGAAGCAGAATCATCAGCATGATCATCAGCAGCAGCCTCATATTCGATGTCGCCATCTTTATCGTCCTAAACTTCGTCATAATCATCATCAGCATCATCAGCATCATCAGCATCGTCATCATCGTCAGCAACAGCATCATCATCATCATCATCATCATCATCATCATCATCATCATCATCATCATCATCATCATCATCATCATCATCCTCGTCATCGTCATCGTCATCATTATCATCGCCAGCATCAGCATCAGCGTCATCAGCATCACTAGCATCGTCATCACTAGCATCATCCTCTTCATCAGCATCACCAATATCATCGTCTGCCTCATCCCCACCACCACTGTCCTCCGCATCATCAGCAATATCAGATGCAGATGCAGCAGCAGCATCAGCATCGTCAGCAGTAGCGGCAGCACCATCTCATAAGCGTCCCCAACAAGGGGCGCGAGCTCAGACGCTGCGCGGGAGTTTACATCGGTGGAGTGCAGAGGGCACGGATGGCATGTGAATACCATTTCGCCAATCCCCATACCAACTGGCATGGCCTTGGCCACGCTGACCGAAGGCTCCCCAGAGATCGGGAGACATGTTGCTCGCTTCGGGTCTTGTGGGGCCTATCCCCACCTGGGGGGTAGGCTGGTGGGGCTGCGATACAGTCGGGGCCTTGACCTAAGGAACCCTAAATAAGGAACGAGGCCCCTGTTTTCCAGAAGTTAAACTTCGATTTCCCATCGAAAACCTAAGGAAAATCCAAGGCAAGCTGCGAAACACTCAAGGAACACGGAGCCCCTCCCCAACGAAAAGGGTTCCTTCTTCAGGGCCCCGACTGTACCATGGTTTCGCGGGGATGGAGATCAGAGTCACGATGCTGAGGATGAGGCGCTCACCTTGCCAGCCCGAGGCGAGCCAGCGCACGGAGCGGGTACCCCTCCGGCCGTGGCATGCCGAGACCGGAGAGCATCGCGGGGGGGGGACGTGAGGGCGATGGGGGGGCTGGCGCGGCTGGAGGAGGGGGCACGTCACGAGGACGCAGGGCAGGGGCGCGAGGGAGTTTAGGCGTTCAACTAGCAAGCCCGCCGCGGGGCTGACCAACGACATCGGCCACGTAATTAGGAACCCCCTCCCTGGCGCGTGGAGCACGCCAAAGGCGGCGCTTGAGACGCCGCCAGGGGGTCGTCCAGCGCCGATCGGGGAAGTCAGCGAAGAAATGCAAGAAAAAATGAGTTTGTCCTTCGCTTGCGCGCAACATCCGCGGCCCTCGACCCCCGACCCCAGCTGTGGCACCAGCACCGCCCCTGGCCCTGGCCACAGTCGGACCTAGGGTTAAACGGACACCCCATCAAGAACATGAGACCCTCCACTGGCCAACATGCACAGAACATCCAAGGGTACCCTCCCCAGGGCGAGCAAGAACATCCCACAAACAGATGTTCTTCGGCGGCGAGGCAGAAGAGCTGCACCACCGGTAAGCGATCGGGAACACTGAGGCGCGAATTGGCCAGCATGCAGGAGGGGGGAGCAGATACACGGGGCGGCCGCGAGGGACCGGAGGAGGCGAAGGGCACTCAGACGCGGAAGACTTCCACACGGAGCGCGCCCGCGCGGCCAGCAGCGGCAGCGCGGAGGCCGCGGCAGCAGCCGGGCCGCGGCGTCGGTGCGGCCACGGGCGCTGCCGAGGCACAGTCCGAGGCAGCACAGGTTGAAGCGAAGACGGAGTCCAGGCTTCGGACTGCCAGCAGCAAACTGCGGTTCCCACTGGGTGTCAGGCTGGGGGGATGCGCCCTGAGTGCACCCTCCCCGAGCCGACCTCGATGTTACACCTCGCTCCGACCCTGCAGCCCCGGCCGCCCCCCGCCGGAGCCTGCCAAGACGCCGTTCTCGTTCACGATCCTCTGCGTGACCTCCGCGGGGCCACGGCGGGGCACGGCGGCGGCGGCAGGCCCGCGCCTGCGCGCAGCCCCAAAGAGGGGGTGCCGAGGGCACTGCCCCAGGGGGGGGGGGGCCCGCCCCAGAGCCCCGCGATGTCTTCACAGCGCCGAGCCCAGGAGCTCTGGAGCTCTGGACCCCTTCCCCGGGGCCGCCGCTTCCTCCGGAGCCGTTCGGTTGACGGCCCCGGAGCCCGGGGAAGGGCCCCCGGGAGGCCGACAGCAGCATTGTGTCGGCCTCCCGGGGGTGCTGCGCTAGAGCGCAACACCTCCCGACAGTATACTGACAGGTACACTGTCGGTATACTGTCGGCCGACAGTATACCGACAGTACACTTGACGAGAGGGTCTGGGCACCACGCCAGGGGCCCTGGGCAGGAGGCCCCGACCAGCGCGCCCTCGGGGGCCCGACCAGGGCGGGCCCGGCCCGCGGGGCCCCGCGCACAGGCGGGGCCTCTGGGGCTGCCGCCGGGAGCTTTTCCTCTCGCGGCGCCGCGGCCGATCACGCGCGCTGGACGCCCGGGTCGAGGGGCGGTCCGGCTCTCTCTCTGTTTCTCTCTCTCTCTGTCTCTCTCTCTCTCTCTCTTTCTCTCTCTCTCTCTCTTTTTCTCTCTCTCTCTCTCTCTCTCCCTCTTTCCCTCTTTCCCTCCCTCGCATGCTCATAGCCAGTCCATCACCACGTCGAGGAACTGCTGCCCGCGCACCCCCGGCACCGCAGCGGGCCGCATGGCTTGACGCCCGCGGGCCGCGACACGCCGAGCGCCATCTGCACGCTGATCTTTTTGTTGTTCGCTATCTCTCTCTCTCTCTCTCTCGGCGGCGAGCGAGGGGAAGCGAGAAGGGGTCGGCGTTCCCAGAAGGCTCCGAAGTTCCCCGGCCTTCTGAGGAGTGCCCTGGGCCATTCCCCGCAGGCACAGGAAACAACTCCTCGGGAGGCGCCGGAGGCCTTCTGAGAGGCCCCGCCGCCTTCTGAGCAGGCCTCCTCCTTCTCATTTCCCCCCCTCGCCCGCCGCCTCCTCCTCCTCCTCCTCCTCCTCCTCCTCCACCTCCTCCTCCTCTTCCTCGTCCTCCTCCTCTCTCTCGCTCTCTCTTTCTCCCGCAGCAGGCGCCCGCGTACGAGCAGATCCAGCAGGGCCCATCGGCTGCACGCCCAACCTCTGCACGCCCGCGGCCGAGGCGGCGAGAAGAGCGGGCCCTCTCCAGCGCCGCAGCTCCAGGCGGAGCCCGCGGTGCGCGCTGGAGTGGCCCGCTCAGGGGGGCCGGATTCCGAGTCGCGGCGGCGCAGCCGTCGAGGAGGAGGAGGAGGAGGAGGAGGAGGAGGAGGAGGAGGAGGAGGAGGAGGAGGAGGAGGGGGAGGAGGAGGGGGAGGGGGAGGGGAAGGGGGGGAGGGGGAGGAGGAGGAGGAGGAGGAGGAGGAGGAGGAGGAGGAGGAGGAGGAGGAGGAGGAGGAGGAGAAATACGGAGTTGCCTCAAGTGGTGCCTCCCCGAATGCCCAGTGCCTGCCTCCGCTGTTGCTTGTTCCTACTAGGCTCGGGAGCCCCTGGGAGGCCAGCAGACCGTATGTGACCGTAGACTGCGTCAACAGCGTGCTCACGAAGAGGGTGCCTTCTTCTAGCGCGAAGGTTTCTGCGAGAACTGCGGACTGAGTGCAGAAATCGAGACCAAGAGCAAATATGCGACATGGCTACAATGCGTTGATCGAACATCCACCTCCCAGGACTCTGGATCCATTCGCCTCCCTAATATTATCATCCCCCTCCACCACCTCATGCTTCTCCACGTCGTCCCTTCTCCTAGATATGTATCCCTCCTTCCTCCTCCCTGTATCTTCCTCCGAGTGCAGAGAGACGGCGATAGCCTCCCAATCCTCCCTCCCCATGCATCCGCCTTCAGCCTCTTCACAGCAGTTGCACGGAAACGCGCGGGAAGTGCCGCAGTGCCAACGCTGAATCAGATCACTGCCTCTAAAATCAAATCGGACAACAACATTGGGAAATACTACCCAGCGGAATGCGCAAGTCCCGTCGAGGATGCTCCACTACACTTTCAGCATCTTCTGTCAGGAAGGGTGCAGCCGACAGAACTGTGCACAGAAACTTCAAAGTGGTGTCAAAGTCAACTGCTTCCTGGAGGTATCTACGCATTCCAGAATTAACTACGCATACGACCCACATTCGTCGCATGCCCGTGTCGGCAACTGCAGATACGACCCACACTCATCGCAAGCGCATGTCGACAACTGCAGGAACAGGGCGATGCGTCCAAGAAAGGAAACATCGGCCCTCAATGATTCGAACATAATCACACTCATAATTATTCAGAAGGCGGGATGCCACCGCAAAAAGAGTCCGCGCTGAACGCACTCCGCTGAGACAAAGCAGCCCGATGGAGTCTGGGTGGCGGTGGTCTTTGCTGATCTGAGGAGCCAAACTCGATGCACCGCACGTTTTTCCGGCCCCGCACTGAAACTTGGACAGGAAAGCGGATCCTGGTGTATACGGGATCCTGGTGTTTCCGCACTGAAAGGCTCCTAGCGGAGCTTGAAACATTTGGCGCGGCCGATTTCGGTAGGCCGCCGGGTTCCCTGGTTCCTGGTTCCGGGTTCTGGGCCGAGTTCGGTGGGCGGCGGGATTCCCTGGTTTCCAGGTTCCCGGGTTTCTGGTCGATCTTCTTATCGATCGGTCTCACCATCAATTTCATTACCCACCTCTCGATCGATCTCTTTATCGATCTCACCATCGATCTCACTATAGATCGCATGATCGATCTCACTGAATCGACTTCACGATCGGACTCACAATCGACCTCACTATCGTCCTCCCTATCGATCCCACTATCGATTTCACTCTCTATCTCAGTATCCATATCAGTAATTTTCAAGCCATCCACTGATTGGGATGTTTTTCTTTGGTGTAATATTGTATACTCTGTTGTTCCCCCAGGAAGCAAGGAAACAAATATACACCACACTGACCCTCAAAAAGTCTAGGGATTGAAGAACAGCCCGCCTCTTCCAGTTTCCGATTAGCCTGCGAACACGTACATTCTTTTGGCGACCCTGGACTCCGAGCGGGAAGGCTCCTCACGGCAGCTCCCCGAAGCCATCCCCTGGGGCGGCCTCTGCACGGGGCCGGCCGAGATGCCTTCCGAAGCCGAGAAGCTGCCGGCGGGGTGCCCGCCCCGTAGCCGCAGGCGGGAAGACCAGAGGCCTCCTGGATGTGGTCGGAGTCGATGAGGTCGGAGGATCGCGCCGCATCACCGATACATCGGCGATGCATCGGCGATGCACCGGCGATGCCCCGGCGATGCATCGTCGACGTCGGCGATGCATTGGCAACGTCGACGTCGAAAGAAACGGGCTCCACATCGAGCCGCATCGCCGATGCATCGCCGATGCATCGGCCGATGCGGCGCGATCCCCCAGCCCCGTCTACTCCGACCCCCTCTTGGAGGCCTAGACCGTAGCGGCAGGCGAGAAGACCGTGAATTTCTTGGTCAGGAGGAACTGGTTCGCCCAGGCGATGATGCAATTGATCACGCCGACGCCCACCGGGATGCTGAGGGCCACGGTCTGCCGAGGGGGGGGGGCGGGCGGGCGGGCGGGCGGGCGTGCCCATTCAACCCTGGAAAAAGTGGCGGCAGGACGAGCCAGCCGCCTCCTCCTCCTCCTCCTCCTCCTCCTCCTCCTCCTCCTCCTCCTCCTTGTCCTCCTCCTTACTCCTCCTCCTCCCCTCCTCCTCCTCCTCCCTCCAAAACTCCTCCTCGTCCCTCCTCCTCCTCCTCCTCCTCCTCCCCCCTTTTCCTCCTCCTCCTCATCATCATCATCACCATCACCATCACCATCATCATCAACATCATCATCGGCAGCATCATCACCATGATAATCATAATACTCATAATCATCATCAACATCATCATCAACAGCATCATCATTGTCCTCATCCCGCCCCCTCGCGTCTGGGCACGAGCGAGGCTCAGTAGAAACCAAGGCAAGCCTGGGCCCCAACGTTGCCCGCCACAAACGCGCCGCACTCGACAAGAGGTCCTGGCGCGGTCCTTGGACAGGGCGCCCCGCTCATTGATTCACGTTCTGGTTCGCAGCCAAGTTGCTGCCAAACGTCGGCCAGAAGACCCTGAATAACCGAATACGATGTTAGCCAGCGTGGACCCCAAACCAGGTGTTTCTCTGGTGTACGATCTATGTTGTGCAATCAAAACTGTGCAACGTACGGGGTGCAACCCCTGTGACGCAATATATGTGGCAATATGCGCGGTGCGCAAATCATGCGGTGCGATCGGCGTTGTGCATTTTGTGCGGCGAAATCTACGTCGTGAAATAAATCTAGTCGGTGCTATCTACGTATGCAATATACGTGGTGCAATTTAGGTTGAGCAATATATTGATGTGATCGATGTTGTGCCAAATAAGCTGAGCAGCCTACGTTGTGCGATATATGTGTATATAACTGTATACATATATACATATATATACATATATATGTATGTGTGTGCTACGTGGTGTAATGTATGTGGTGCAAACTATAAATGGTGCAATATACGTGGTGCAATTCACTAGCCTGCACCGCGTTGGCCACCTCCCGTACTCTTAAAAACAGCCCACCCACCCACCCACCCACCCACCCGCAACTTAGTTTGCAAACCCATGCTGCGGCGATTGCGATAAGTGCTTGGCATTCGTGGTGCATCTCTGCAGTCGCGCTAGCCCGCGCACGCTCGCACGCACAGCGGTCAGCTATTTGGGCGCGACCTACGCGGCCGCGGTGGCGCTGACCGCTTGGCACCACCCAGCGGGCAATGCAGCACGAGTCGGTGACTTGGGTGGGCGCGGCATCATGGCAAGGGCGCGGTACCATGGCAATGGGCAATGTCGACGACGGTAGACACGATGATGGTAGTAGCGATGATGACGATGTTGACAACGACGACGGCAAGGCCAATGACGGCGCCGATGCGGATCACGCCGACGACGATGACGGCGTCCTCGCATCGGTGATGAAGGTTTTGGAAGGATGTCGACATGCGCGGGAGTAGCCGCATGGTTTTATTTGACACTGATCGTTCCCCTCCAGCATGCGCGCAAGGGCGTTCGAATGATTTCAGCATGCGGCGCGAGAAGCCCGTTTGGCCGAATGCCATGACCATGTTGAGAAATCGATGGCTGTTCTAAGAATTCGCAAGAGCGCGAGCGCACGCTTTTTTGAGAATTGATGTTGCCAAACCATGTGTGTCACGTGTGCTGGACACTCGGTTTTGAAATCGCTACGACACCTAAGGTTTTTGACGGGTTCCGGCATGCGCGCGCAACGACGCGCGCGTGCACTTCGTCCTCTTGTTTGCAAGAGGATTCTCGCGACGGCACGCGCGCAAGGGCGTTCGAACGATTTCGACATGCGCGCGCGAAACCCGGTTGGTAGCATGTTCTGAGCATGATGGAAAAAAGTATGGTTTCTTCAGGATTCGCAAGAACGCGCGCGCAAGCTTTTTTTGAACATCAGTGGTGCGTAACGTTGTGCTTTTATGTGTTTTGTTTTTTGAATACTCGGCTAATCCTTGCGAAACCAACAGCATTTGAGCGATTTCGGCGCGCGCGACAACGCGCGCGTGTGCACTTCGTGCCATGTTTTCCAAGGGCTTTGTGAAACCTGCTGACTTTTGATTAACGAGCGTGCGCCTAGTATCTGGTGCAGAAGATGGCGGGGTGGGGATACCGGCTCGGCAGGGATGATATGAATTCATATTATTTGGGATGGATGGACGATGGGGCCGAACCACATATAAATTGCAATACGAAAAGGGGAACGGATAATCCCCCTCGGGGGGGTAGAGTCTATTTTCTTTAAAGAAAAGCTTCTAAGAGAAGCGAACCTATGCCGGGCAATATACGTTGTGCAACTTGAGCGGTGACGGGGCGGCGACAGCGCCAACATAGCCGCCAGACCGACAATCAGGCCCAGCCGACGAACGGCGACGAGCCGGCGACGGGGCGGCAACCGCGACAACGTAGCCGCCAAACCGCCAATCAGGCCCGGACGACGGGGGGCGACGAGGCGGCGACGGTGACAACATAGCCGCCAGACCGCCAATCGGGCCAAGACGACGGGCGGCGACGTGGCGGCGACGTGGACGCGTCGGGGCGGCGACGGCGAGCATGGAGCCACCAGACCGACAATCGGGGCCAGTCCCTTAGAGGAGCAATGGAGACCCCAAGTGCAAACATGGTGTGGGGACGATGTGAAGAACCAATCATACACCACTGACGTACTGGAGACGAGACGCGAAACAATCTGGGAGGCCATGCGCGAGGCCCTACGGGAGACCACAAGGGTGACCATCAGGCTGGGGGCCACGCGGGAGACCCTACGGGAGCCCATATGGGAGACCGTGCGGGAGACTTGACAGGCGACCAACAGGGAGCACAGACGGGAGGCCATGAGATACGGTGCGGGAAACCATAGAGAAGAGCACCGGGGAGAGCACACGTGAGGCAATGCGGAGAGCCATGCGAGAGACTGGACAGGAGCCGGGAAGCGCGGCGGGACGCCGTGCGGGAGCCCCCGTGGGAGACCCTGCGAGAGACCCTGCAGAAGACATCGCGGGAGACGATACGGAGGACCATGCGGGAGACACTGCGGGAGACTGTAAAGGGGACCATACGGGAGACCGGGTTGGGGGGACCACGATGGCGACCACGGGGGAAAACCCGCGGGAAGCCGTAAACGCGGACAGATCGGAAACAGCTCGCCGGCCCACGAGGCCAGAGGCCCTCATGCTGAGACCTCCGGCAAGAGGCTCCTGAACTATTCTAGGTGGCGCGCGCGTGGCGCCTGGGGTTCCCCGGGGCGAACAGTATTGAAGGGGCCCTGGGACACACAAATAAGACACACAAATAACAAGATTCCCTATATTTTCCTATATTTTCTTTTTTTTGTCTTCCCCCTGCTTCCCATATTTCCTCATATTTTCTGGGGAATCGACGAGCGCTCCCCGTGACAAACGCTGGAACTCCCAGGAGCGATCTTCGGGGCCCTCACGAGCGCCTCACGAGGACCCAAAGAGAGCTCCGACAGAGCACTCGAGTCGGGATCCATGAGTGGTGGGCTCCTTGATGGCCCGAAGACAATCCCAAGAGGATTCAAGCCAGCCCCCGAGTAACCCAAGACATCCCAAAGAGAGCTCCCGGATGCCAAAAATCAGATTTTGTTTGGTTTTTGACGGAATTTGGCGTCGCCGACCAGTCAGCCTTCCCACCGCGAAATGTGGCCCATGACGAGCTCAAGATCGCCCTAAGTCATCCCCAGATGCTCCCAGGACGGCCCCAAGACAGCCCAAGAGAGCCCTAAGACGGCACGAGAGGCCCCCTAAGAGGACTCCAGAGGCTCCCAAGAGGCCACCACGAGGCGGAATCTGAATTCACATGTCGGGCCCTTCTCCCAAAGATGGCCTCCAAGACTGCTAGAAGGCCCCCCAGACGCCCCCAAGACCCCACCCAGGAGGCCCCAAGAGGCCCCGCAAGATGTCCCAAAGAGCCCCCGCAGGGCTCCACACATGTCCCCGCGGGCACGCAGGCAAGTGCCAACAATGCTACAATATGGGCTGGCGGAATGAGCGAAGCGATTGAATTCGGCGGGACCCCCGCCGTGTTAAACTTCGAGACAAGATGGTGAGATGGAGAATGATGAAGGACAGTGAGAATGCATGCGTACATTTATGCCTAGAGCGGCTTCGCGCATTACCGCCGGCCGACACCCCTCCGACTTCTTCTGGGGGCACGCAATGCTGGTGAAACGTGCTCCCAGCGCTAGGCCCACGCGCGTGACAGCTCCTGGGACACGTAGAGACACGAGTGAGATGCACACTCGGGGCTGCGAAAGCTTGATTACCCCTCACGCAGTTCCACTCTGACATCATGCTGGGACGCGTCAAAAGTACGAGTGAGCAGCGCCTTAATGCCTGCGACACGGTCATGTCGGCACACCTCTCACGCATGTTGTGCTCCACGCTCTACCGGGGCGCGTGCAAATACAAGCGATCTGCGCTCCGAGGCCGTTCGACCCCCCACGGGATGCCAGCATGGCCCCACGAAACATGGTGGGCTTGTTTTCCACCGCCACCACCATAAGCAGGAGGGGGAGGGGGTCCTCCTCCCCCTCTTCTTCCTCCTCCTCCACATTATCCCCCTCCTCATCATAGCGCTGGCTCAGATCGAGTCCTCCGACTCGCGAGCTCGCGCCAGGGCGCTTCCCCGCGCCGCTTTCCCGCCCCTCTCCCGCTCCTCTTGCCTGTCTCGCTTCGCCTCGGGCCATGTTGCCGCCGTGGCGGGCCGCGCGGCCTCGTCGCACGGCGGCGGAGCGTCGTGCCCACGCCGCCAGGGCGCATGCGAGGGCTGTGCAGACGTTGCTGCGGGGCTTCCGCAGCCTGGAGCAGCACCGCGGGTGCCAGCCCACCCGCATGGGTGCTGCGCTCGGCCTTGCCCTACAGGCTGCTGATGCTGAACAAGTCGTTCCGCTTCCGGGCCCAGGCTTGGGCAAGGGCAAGGGCAAGGGTAAGGGCAACAGTGAAGAGAAGGACAAGGACCCAAAGCACGTGTCTCTTGCCTCTGGTTCAAAGTCTCCTGTCGGCGCAGGGGCGCGTGCCCAACAGGTTCGTGGTGATCTTCCTCCTGAGCGCCTCGACCCATGGGCTGCAGGAGCTGACCCATGGACATGCGCGACCGCGGTTGCTGGTGCTCGTGATGGCCGCGAGCCGGTTCAGGGCTACGGGACTCCTTGTCGTGAATGCGTCGGTGCGCAGCGGTTTAGTACAGAGCCGGTGCTATGCCGTGCGTGTGCCCGGCGGCACGAGCAGGGCACCCTGTTCTGCAGGGGCGAGGGCAAGAGCAAGGGCAAGGACGTGAGGACCTAGGCCTCCTCCGCCTCCTCCCTTCCTTCGCATATTTGTTCGTCCCTCCCTCCGCCCCCTCCCTCGTAGCGCCTGCGTCGGAGATGTGGTGGTGGAGCCTTGGAGGAGAGGAGGACTTGGATGAGGGTGTGGATAGCATTTCGCACCACTTGGCAGTACAATCTGCCGTGTGGCTGCTAGCTTGCCAGTTTGCTCGTGCGAGGGTTGCCGCGCGCGATCGGAGCCACTGGGGTGGCCGTCCGTCTGCTCGAAGGTCAGGGTTGTCTGGCATGGAAAGTGGAGTGGTAGGGCCCTGTTTCGTGTGGTGGTTGCAGGGTCTTCACCTCCCCCGCTCTCCGTTGCTGGACGGCCCCAGCCTTGTCTTCCGAAGTGTCCAATCCAATCCGATCCCCCTCCTCCTCCTCCTCATCCTCCTTCTCATCATCATCATCATCATCATCATCATCATCAGCATCATCAGCATCATCATTGTCATCATCATCATCATCATCATCATCATCATCATCATCATCATCATCAGCATCATCATCATCATCATCATCATCATCATCATCATCATCATCATCATCATCATCATCATCATCATCATCATCATCATCTACCTCCTCGCCCCCTTCCAATGTGTGGCGGTGGCCGTGACTCCTGCCCTGCGGGCTCCATAAACGAGGAGACCGAGCGGGAGGCAATGCGGGCGACCACCCGCCACGGGAAGCCCTGCACGAGCCCAGACGGGGACCCAAACGGGAGAGACAGCACAGGAGACCGTGCGGGAGACCGTGTGGGAGACCAATGCGGGAGGCCGTGCGGGAGACCGCGTGGGAGACCAATACGGGAGGCCGTGCGGGAGACTGTCAGCGCGGGAGGCCATCAGGTCACCGATTCTGCGGCTCGCAGCGGCCCCGCCAGCCCTTCTTGCGAGCCAGCCGTAAAACCCCTGCCGAGAGGCTGATTGTTTTTGAGGGAAGTGCGCGAGACAGCTACAGACAAGCTGCTGAAAGGAGCATTGGCTCCGTCCTCTTCCGCCCCACCTCCTCCTCCCCCCCCCCCTCCCCCTCCGCTCTCTCATCTGCCTCCTCCACCTCCTCCCCCTTCCCCCACATCACGACGACGACCACTCGGCGGCGCGCCCAGGGGGGGGAAGGAGAAGGGGCACGCCTGCCCCACAAGGCGACAGGGCTCCTCACCGCCTGCGGCCTCGGAGAAGGCTCAGACAGCTACTCTGAGCCTTCTGCGAAGGCCCGCGCCATCGGCTGCCCCCGCAGACATCGCCAGCGACCACAACAGCGACCATCACCACCGCCACCACGACCACGACCCCTGAGATCCGAGATCACCGAACACTGCAACGTCGTCAAGCCCGGAGCCCACCACCCATCTTTCTGCTGCACCCCTCGAGCCCGACCGATCTGCGATGGCACTGGGGCCCGAAACCGAGCGCAAACGCCTGGTGCGACGGAGCTGCAGCGGCCGGATCTCAAGGCGCGATCGCCACGGCGCCGGAGGCGGCGACGGCGCCGCGGCCCGCGTCGTCGTCGGCGTCGGCGTCGGCGTCGTCGTCGGCGGCGGCGGCGGCGGCCGACCTTGGCGGCGCGCACAAGGGGGTCGGGGGAGCGGGGGAGGCTGCTTAGAAGGAGGCTGTTTCTTAGCAGGCGCCGGCCCTACACCTACAGACGAGGCCCGCGCCTTCCCAGAGGCAGGGGTGCTTCTCAGAGGCCTTCCCCCCTCCCCCTGGCACACCTGGAGCGCCTGGCCGAGGCGGCGGCGGCGGCCGACGAGAGACCGGCGGCACAGAGAGCAAGCGGGCCCACACGACGGTGCCCGGCAGGCGGCGCGACTGCGCCAGGCCGGCGCGGCGGGCCGCGCCGTTGCCGACGCCGAGCCCCTCCACCGAGACCCTCTGCCTGAGGGGGAGCCCATACAATCGGACTCGATTGGACAGGACACGCGAGAGGACAAAAGACCCTTCCGGGGGCCGCGTTGCGAGACACAGGACACAAAAACCCTTCCCGGGGTCATGCAGGAGGCATGGGTCGCGAGACACAGGACACGAGGGTACCCTTGATTTGGCAGGGTCGACCTACTAATCCGGGCCGACTGTACAGTCGGGGCGCTGACCTAAGGAACCCTAAATAAGGAACGAGGCCCCTCTTTTCCATAGGTTAAACTTCGATTTCCTATCGAAAAAATACGGAGAACCTGAGGCAAGCTGTGAAACACTGAAGGAACGCGGAGCCCCTCCCCAACCAAAAGGGTTCCTTCTTCAGGGCCCCGACTGTACCCCCGAGATCCTGGCGATGCGTTTTTGTTCACAGGGTGCGCTTCCGCCCGGAGGCGGGCCCCAGGGCCCTCACAGATGGATCCGGCTCGAAAAAACGAGGAGGGAGGTTGGGGACCAGGGCTCTGGTCGCGATTTTTCGCGACGTCCCCATTTGCAACGTCAGATCTGAGGGTAGAGCGCATGGCCAGCCCCGCCCCCTCCCCTCCCCTCCCCCGTCCCCCTGGTCACGCCACGGTTCGCGTCAGAGCCGCGAGGGAAGGAGCCGTTCCTGAACAACCCCGGGCGACACCAGCGCGAGTCGTGACGCGACTGGCCCCCTCCCCCCTTCCCCCCCGTCTCCCCCCCACACGGCCACGCCCGTTATCGCCAGGGGATAAAAGAAGCGGTCTCGTAAATATTCGCGTCGCCGAAAAAAACATACCGACCGACATGTCGCACCTTCCGCCCCCGGGGGCAACCAGGGCACCCAAGAGGCACCCAAGAGGCCCAAGCGAGCGCCAAGAGCACCCCCAAGATGGTTCCAAGAGGTCGAAGCCTCCTCGTCCTCGTCCCCCCTCAGGGTCGGCGGCACCGGCCGTAAGGCCTGCGCAATCATTGTTGAGTTTTCAAGGCAGGGCGCCATATCCGACCCAGACCCGAGGAGCGGCCCAGAGACCGAAGCCCCGCCTGAACCCAGAGCGGTCATTACTTCAGCGTCTTGGCTGTACGCCCTCGCGTCGCATAACGCAAAAGAGCCACGACCGAAGGCTTACAGCATTCAGAGTCGACTCGGGATGAGAAGCCGCCCTGTGGGAAGAGGTCGGGACGCATCGCTCCACGTCGAGCCGCATGTCCTCGGGCTCCACACCGAGCCGCACCGCCGATGCATCGGCGATGCGACGCGATCTTCCGCCCCCATCTACTCGGACCCCATCTGGGAGGCCCAGACTATTCCCCCCCCCATCGCTGCCCCTGGTGTTTGTTCGACCTCGCGCGGGCGGCGCCTGCGCTCGACGGCCGGGGTCCTCCCCCCAGGCGAGCCCTCGGGCGTCAGCGGCATCGGGACCCGCCGCAGGCCGCCCAGCTGGCGGCTGGGGCTGCCGCGCTGGCCAGCGGCATCCTGGCGGCGCGCTGGGGGGCTCCGCCGAGGGGGCCCTGCTGGGGCTCTGCGCGCTCGGCGCCCGGCGCTGCACGGGTTAGGTCGTTCCCGTCGTGTTTAGGGGCTACATCCCAGAAGCAACTTCGAGCACCCCGGAAAGTATCGAAGCATTGTCTGCCCGGCACGCTGGCGAAGTGTCGAACGCGCATCGCCTCCCAGGGCCCGACACGTGAAAGCCCTCCAGTTTCGCCACTGTCGTGGTGCTCGAATTTTTTTCTGGTGGCCAATGCTCAAGTGGGGCCCCGCTCGGCTCTGCTGGGCGCTGCATCTCTGTCGCAGCGGGCGCTCTCGCTTGGCTGCGGGCCCCGTCGGGCGGGTGGTGATATGGGGGGGCGAAGAGAAGGGCCCTCAACGAGAGCCCCTTACAAGGCCCCCGCGGGCTCCTTGGAGGCTCCGATAGGGCCCTCTTCTTCACCCCCCTCTCACATCGCCCCCCGCTCCCAGCCGCCCGAACCCTGGGGCCCTCGCGGAGCCGCTCGGCTCGGGGAGCGACGCAGGGCCGTGGGGCGCCGGGCCTCCGCTGGTGATCTCGCAGCGGTGCGGCAGCCCTTCTGCAGCGTCTGATGTGAGTGGGGCCCCCGACGTCGTGATGTCTCCACGACCTGCCCCTCGGAAGTCCGGGCCCCTTCCCGGGGACCCGCTCTTCCTCCGGAATCGTCTGTGCGACGGTTCCAAGGACCCAGAAGGGCCCCGGGAGGCCAACGCCAGCGAAAAACCTCCCGTCGCGATGTCTGTTTCGCAACGCGAGGGGGTCTGGGGCCTGGGCTCGAAGCTCGGGGGTCGAGGCTCGAGGATCGAGGGTCAAGGATGACATCCTCTCTGCCCGCCAGCGGGCGCGCTCCGCAGGGGCCCTTTCGGCTTTAGGGTTTAGGGTTTAGGATTCGGGGTTTAGGGTTTGGGGTTCCTTCCGGCTCGGCGCGGAGAGCGCCGCACAGGACCGAGGCCCACGAGCTCTCGGGCGAGCTGCTGCCTGGGCCCGGCGGCCGTGCCCCGACCGGGGCCTGCACGGGGCCTCTGTCGGGCCCAGGAGGCGTTGCGCCCGCCAGGCGGGAGGAGCGGGCGGCAACAAGAGACAGGAAGGCGGACGAAACAGATCGGGTCCGGACCCGCCCACATGGAGGGGGTCACCCGCCAGCCGGACGAAGTAGGCAGCGGCACGAAGCAGAAGGGCGGACGAAGGTAGAAACACGGAGTAGGAAGGCGGGTGACATACATTGGGCTTGGACCCGCCCAGAGGACGGGGCTACCCTTCCACTCGGAAGAAGTATGTTGACACATGAAGTCGGAAGGCGGACCAAGTATGATTCGGACCCACCCAGAGATAAAAACAAAACAACACCAGAACGATTATTGAAGTAGGAAGGCATTGAAGCACATTGGGATCTGGATCTCCAAAAATATCTACTTTCAACGACCGGCGTGTAGGGGATGTGGGCATAATGAGAAAATCGCTCGACATGGCTCCTGGAAGAAAAAGAAGAAGAGTTCGATCCGTGGCCCCACTTTGGGATAGCACTCCCTCCACGTACCCACGGCATGGGACCGAGGCCCAAATCCCTGACGAGGTGTTTTTGTTCGATCCAGGCTGGCCCCGGGATCGCGGTAGGGACTTCGTGAGGGTTTTTTATTCGGCGTTTCGAAGTTGGGAGGAAGGGGGGGGGAGGGAGGGGGTCTGGCTACGGGCCTCCGCTCGATGCCACCGTTGGCATGGTCCTATTCCCTCATCCCTCTTCGCCTCCTCCCACCCACCCCTCCCTCCTCCTCCTCCTCCTCCTCCTCCTCCTCCTCCTCCTCCTCCTCCTCCTCCTCCTTGCTTCTCCCTCCTCCTCCTCCTCCTCCCCTCCTCCTCTCGCTTCCTCCCTCCTCCTCCTCCTCCTCCCTCCTCCTCCTCCTCCTCTCCCTCCTCCTCCCTCCTCCCCCTCCTCCTCCTCCTCCTCCTCCTCCTCCTCCTCTCCCCTCCTCCCTCCTCCCCCTCCCTCCTCCTCCTCCTCCTCCTCCTTGCTTCTCCCTCCTCCTCCTCCTCCTCCTCCTCCTCCTCCTCCTCCTCCTTGCTTCTCCCTCCTCCTCCTCCTCCTCCTCGTTTCTTCTCCTCTTCCGCCTCCTGCTGTGCAGGTGCCCGCCTGCGTCCCCCCCCCCCCCCTGCGCGCGCGCGGGGCGCGCCGGCCGAGCGGCAGCCGCAGCTGCAGCTCCGCGCAGGCCTCTCTTTATCAGAGAGGAGGGCACGCGGGCCGAGCAGTGGGGAACGCGAGAGACTGCGCGCTGGCGCGCCCTCCTCCTCCCCCTCCTCTTCCTCCTAGGGGCCCCTACTGCAGGGGCCGCTGTGACTTGCAGCAGGTGTAGGGTGGTTGCGACCCACTCGAGCAACGAGAAGAAACGGGTCTTACGCATGGCGACCTTGCGCGGTGGCTTACGCGGGCCGCCCGCGCGGCACGACACACTGGGAACGAGGGCGCTTCCGCGAGACATAACGCGGGCAGCTTACGCGCCAAAGTCGGCGCAAGACGACCCATTTTTCTGCGTCGTTCACTTGGAAGGCACTTGCAATTGGACTGCCAGTCCGCCTGGCTGCTCCAAGTTGGGTCCGAGACTTGCTCAGACTTGGAGCAGGTAGGCGGACTTGCAACCCACTTGCAGGCTGCATGCAAGTGGGTTGCAACCACCCTGCAACTGCTGCAACACTTGCAAGTCGAACCGACTACTATGGGCCCAGCACAGCACACGCTGCCCAGGGCTGCGGAGGAGCAGCGCGGGAGGAGGGGCGCCGGGCGGCGACGCCGAGGGCGAGGACGACGAGGCTGAGGCCGAGGGACGAGGAGGGACGCCGCCGACGGCGACGCTGGCGACGACGACGACGACGGCGACGACGACTGCGACGACGACGACGACGACGACGACGACGACGAGGACGAGGACGAGGAGGACGAGAAGAAGCAGCCGTGCGCCGCAGCGGAGCGCGGAGCGGCCTCGGCGAGGCGCCCCGACCCGCGCATGACCCACGGCGCGGTTCGGGCGGGGACGGCGCACGACGCCGGGCGTCACGCCTCGCACACCTGCGGGAGCCGCCCAGCAAACAGCCGCCGTGCTACCATATATATATATATATATATATATATATATATATATACATATACATATACATATAATCTATACTTATAAATCCAAAAAAACCATGAGCAGAAATGTTCGGCGCTCCGCGCGGGCTTCTCGGAACTGCACTGGGGCCCCAGCCCTGGCGCGCGGAGCGCGCCAGGGGCGGCGCCGGAGGCGCCGCCAGGGGGGGCCCAGCACGGATCCAAGAAGCCCGCGCGGAGCGCCAAAGTTTTTCTTCTTCGATCATAGGAACAAGTGGGCTTTTCTGGCCATGGGCGAGCATCGGCCACGAACAGGCTCCGCGTCATAAGGCAGGGAGCGCCTCGGAAACCAGAGCCCCTCCTGAGCCCAGGGTGGTCCTCACTTCCGCGTCTTGACTGTCGGGCCAGGGCTGACGGGGCAGCGCGCCGATGCGCAGACGGGCGATGCACAGACGGCAAAAGCGTGGACACATTCGGGCTCTGGTTCCCATCGCATCGCCGAGATGCATCGGCGGCGCTGCGCGTTTTGGTGGGCCCGTCTGCGACAGGTTCGTGTCGTGGCGACGTCTGCGCTGGTTTTCTGACCCCGTGCCCATACCCCCGACGTCGTGATTCTTGTTCACAACGTCGACCCTCAGAGGCATGGACGGACCCCTGCCCTGGGACCGGGCTTTCATCCCGAGTCGACGGTCCTGGGGCCCGGTGAGGGCCCCCAGAGGCCGAAAATCGCGAAAAAAACCTCCCATCGTGATTACAGTCGGAGCGTTGACCCAAGGAACCCTAAATAAGGAACGAGGCCTCTTAGATTAGATCCACAAGTTGGACTTCGATTTCCCATCGAAAGCCAGGAAGCAAAACCCCAGGCAGACTGTGAAGCAATCCAGGAACACGGAGCCCCTCCCCAACGACAAGGGCTCCTCCTTCCGGGCCCCGACTGTATAGTTCACAGCGCGAGGACGTCTGGCTGTGGCTCGCGCTCCGCCTTAGACCTATCGCGGCCTCCGATCGCCCGAGCGCTCCACGTGGCCCGCTCCCCGGGGCACCGGCGGCGCTCCGCCCTCCCACGCGCACGGCGGGGCCGACCTCTCCGCGCAGCCCTCCCCAGGGGGGGCGTTCCGACCGGAGCTCCGAGGCGCGTCCGTCCGTGGCGGCGGGGGCCTCCCGGGAGGCCCCCGAACGAAGGCAAGCACGAGGCAGCGGCAAGGGTATCTGTAGAGGGCTCCCAGGATGGAGTCGGCGCACACGGGGGCGATGCGGAGCGATATCGCGCCGCATCGCCGATGCATCGGCAACGCATCGGCGATGCACCGCCGATGCGACGGCGAGGTGAGCGATGCGTCGGCGCCGTCGGCGTGAACACGATCGGGCTGCACATCGACCCGCATCGCCAATGCATCGGCGATGCGGATCGATCCTTTGGCTCCACCTGCTCCGACCCCGTCGGAGAGGCTTGGACCCAGACCCCCGACGTCGACTTTTTTCATGACGATACCCTCAGAAGTCTGGACCCCTTCCCAAGGACCCGGGTTTCATCCTGAATCGTTTTCTGACGGTCCCGAGGCCCGGGACGGGCCCCGGGAGGCTGAAAATACCAAAAAACCTCCCGTCGCGATTCTGTGAGAGCGCGAGGGGTCTGGGGAGCTTGGGCGGCCAGGGAGCCTCGGCGGCCGACACGCGCCCGTACACGGCGGCCCCGCAGGCCGACGGCTCCGCTGGTGCGGGCGCGACACCACAGCGCCGCCACAGCGCGGCGCCGCAGCGCCAGAGCGCGCCAGCCCCCCAGGCGCAGCGCTCCCGGAGCCACCCGCCCAGGGGGACGCCAGCTGCACGGCAAATCGGCGGCGCCTACATCCTCCGCCTCCTCCTCCTCCTCCTCCTCCTCGTCCTCCTCGTTCTCCTCCTCATCCCATCCTCCCCCTCCCCCTCCCCCTCCTCCCCCTCCTCCCTCCCTCCTCCTCCTCCTCCTCCTCCTCCTCCTCCTCCTCCTCCTCCTCTCCTCCCCCTCCTTCTCTCATCCTCCTGTCGTCCTCCTCCTCCTCCTCCTCCGCTCCTCCTCCTCCTCCTCCTCCTCCTCCCTTCCTCCTCCCTCCTCCCTCTTCTCCTCTCCTCCTCCTCCTCCTCCTCCTCCTCCTCCTCCTCCTCCTCCTCCTCCCCTCCTCCTCCTCCTCCCCCTCCTGTCCTCCTCGTCCTCCTCCTCCTCCTCCTCACCCTCCTCCTCCTCCTCCTCCTCCTCCTCCTCCTCCCTCCTCCTCCCTCTCCTCCTACCTCCTCCTCCTCCTCCTCCTCCTCCTCCTCCTCCTCCTCTCTCCTCCTCCTCCTCCCTCCTCCTCCTCCTTCCTCCTCCTTCTCCTTCTCCTTCTCCTCCTCCTCCCCTCCTCTCCTCCTCCTCCTTCCTCCTCCTCTCCTCCTCCCTCCTCCTCCTCCTCCCTCCTCCTCCCCTCCTTCTCTCTCCGCCTGCGTCCTCGTTTTCGTCCTCCTCCTCCTCCTCTTCCTCTTCCTCCCTAAGGCACAGCGTTTCTGGCGCTATTGGGAGTTAGTCAAGGAAAGGAGGCCGGAGGTCAGGTCCCAGCTTGTGTCCGTGATTCCCTCTTTTTGCGCGTGTGCCCTTGGTGTTGGCCGTTGGCCACTTTGGCCGTTGGCCAGGGCACGTTGGCCCGCGCTTTGCTGAGCGCCACGGTTTTGTTCTGCCTTTTGGGCCTCCTCCTCCTCCTCCTCCGCTCCCCCTCCTCCTCCTCCTCCTCTCCTCCTCCTCCTCCTCCTCCTCCTCCTCCTCCTCCTCCTCCTCCTCCTCCTCCTCCTCCTCCTCCTCCTCCTCCTTCTCTCGTCCTCCTCGTCCTGCTCCCCGGGGCCACCGAGAGCTCGCTCCCCAGACGCCCTCCTCGAGGACTTGTTCCGTCCTCGGCCCGAGCGCTCCCGACCCCTTCGCTCCGATGTTGCTGCCTCCCGGGGCCCGACAGTTGAGCAAGGACGGCATTCGTGCAGACCACAAGTGGATCTCAGAACATTCTCTGGTGGGCCTATAGGCGAGCCAGGACGCTTCGCCGCTGCTTGAGACAGCGGGCCCCCGAGGCCGAGATCGAGGAAGGGACGCCCGACACGAGAAGGCCACACCTCGTCGGAGAGCTGTGCCTGTGTTGCCCTCGCCCCCCGGGCCCGGGGCCATCCGCATGCAGACTGTGCCCGGGATGCAGAGCCGGCTCCGGGGGAGGAGGTCGAGGCCTCCTCTGAGCAGGGGCCGACCGTCCCGGCATCAGAGGCCTCCCATATGGGGTCGGAGTAGATGGGGTCGGAGGATCGCGCCGCATCGCCGATGCATCGGCGATGCATCGGCGATTCACTGGCGATGCACTGGCGGTGCATCGTCGACGTGGGCGATTCATCGGCAAAGTCGACGTGAAGCAAATCCGGCTCTACACCGAGCCGCATCGGTGATGCATCGGCGATGCGGCGCGATCCTCCGACCCCATCTACTCCGACTCCATCTGGGAGGCCTAGAGGCATTCCTGTAGGCCTACCACGGCATGTCCTTCGAACCCGAACATGTTCTCGGAGCAAACACCACTTAGGGCAAGAGGCCGGCGTGTTAAAACAGGACGGCCTCGGCCAGAAATGTGTTCCAAGAGCATGTCGCGCAGACCACGGGAAAATTCTTGGAGCACTCTTGCGCGGGCCTCAATAGGCAAGCCGGGACGCTTCCGCCATTGCTCGGCTCCGGGGGGCCGCGCAGTGAAGGGGCCACGACGCCGCGCCGTGAAAGGACCGCGACGCCAGCGGTCCTGGGGAGGGATCATCATGCACACGCCCGCGCGGCTTCTAGGGCCGGGGGAGGCGCGCAGACCCACCTCTGGGCTCAAGATATGCTGGCCTCTGGTCGGGATCTGGGCGCAGGGGAACCTGGACGATGGACCCGTGGATCTGGCGCATGGGCGCCACATCCCCAGACCCCCTCGCGCTGCAAAAGAATCACGACTGGAGGCTTTTCTCTGTTTTCGGCCTCTAGAGGCCCTTCCCTGGCCTCGGGGCCGCCACAAGACGACTCGGGAGG